CCTCCTGCACAAGAAGCCCCCAGATTGAGCCAATTTCCCCATCCAGAGCTTTGCCATTTCACTTTCCACCAACCAGGTTCAATTCTCAGCAAACAGTAAGTTACTCACATATTGTTTTTCACTCCTAGATCGGACTCCCTTGTTTGCATCCTTTTCATTTCATCTCGAAATTCGTTGCAGTGGGCTATCGCGTCAGATCCTACGTAACTATCAACCGAGTCCTCGACTCGCTAGTTTGGCTGTTTGACACGGACGATCACTATAGTCTCGAATCATCTGCCCGATATCTTCGGACATCAATTAATACAGTCTTACAGAAACCGATTGCCATCCAGACCTATCACTCTTGTTCACTCCATCACCCATCTTCCCGTACCCCTTAAATCCTTCCCCAAGTACTTCTCCACTTTGCCACTAGTTCACCTACTTTTCCTATATCTTATTCAGCTGTCTCTCTCTCTCTCTCTCTCTCTCTCTCTCTCTCTCTTTCAACTTTCCACTTCCCCGATTCACCGGACCGTTCTTATCCCTCCTCACCAGATTAGATATTATTATTCGTTTTCCTTTACCTTTTTCTCCCTTCAAAATATTTGCGCGCTACAGTTATATAACATACACGCTGCCGACCGTCTGGCATAATATGCATAATTGTATATTAACTACGCGAAATCATTGTACAAAACCACGGGTCGACAATATTTGTTAAAGCAATTTTATTTTATAATTTAAATCACGTTCCCTCCTTTCCAATTTATACCCCGATTCCAGCTATCGACTCGCGGTCCAATCCCAGGTAAAGAGATTTAGTTCTCTGACCTAAAAGTGGAGCACCCGCCGTACGTCATGATCGGAATAAACGGACCCCTCTGGTTCCTGATTTGTATCGCGCACACGCAAGTGCGTACGGGACTCGCAAGTGCGAGTACACGTTGCGCTCCTCCTCCAGGACGTAACAATAAGAGAGAACACTATTTTCCAGTCTTTATATGTCAAGTAACGCAATAGGAAACTCTTCGGAGGACTTGCAGCGAACCTTCAACTTGGTTGCAAAATGCTTTCATTTTACCCAACAAAATTCGTGTCTTTGTTATTAAAAAAATTAGACCGTGAAGTCGGTATTACCGAAGCGAAGCGTAAATCTGTGAGAATCTTCTTGAAAATCACGGAAATGGTCGCTGGTTAAAGAACAATGTAATTTTTCATTGATTAGGTAAATCCTCTCAAAAAATGAGAAATTTCAAGCAAAATCTATAAACAAACACAGGTCTATCTCTTGTGACTATTACGCATTTAGATTTTCCGAGGCGGGGAGGTAAAAGTTACAAGCGAACTGAAAACCTCAATGGAGTAAAGTGACCCATATTTTAACAATGGCGAAAACGTCGCAGAATAAGAGCCGAATATTTGTGATTCGAGTGGTTGAATGCGTTGCAATTCGTTGCTTTTACCATCGACTACGCGCGCGTCGAGGAGTTTTAAATTACGCTGGCATTGTGCTCGTACAATGTGCTGTCAGTGTGTCGAGAATGACGGGAACAATCGCGCGTGTCTCGCGCGGACAATTTGAAACGCTACCTAGCGGCGATCGTGGCTGCGAAGCCGCGATTAGTAAAAATCCGCAAAGTACGAATTAATTTTGCGCGACTTTTCAAGGCGTCGGACGAAGCGCGCCGATAAAAGCGCGCCGATAGAGCGACGCCATTACTAGCGCAAGTGTTTTTGCTCCGTCGCAATCCAGATTGCGTTCTCGTGTTTCGCGTTTTAATAGGATCGACGCGCGTCGGCTAGTGGGACAGAACAAAAATACAGGCGATTTTTCGAAACAGAATAAAACACGATGGGATGCGCGAATCGGAGACACCGGCCGGCGCACAATGGGGCCAGATGACATTCTTTGGTTGAAAGTTCTTTAGAGACTTGAATTTCCAACCGATCATCGACACCAATGGATGAGGTTGATCCTGAATAAATTCCGAAGAGATCTGTCTTGCTAAAATTAAAAAAGAAGTTTTTTTCTCGAATTACTAGCTCCAAAAGAGGCAAAATTATCGTTAAACGCGAGACTCTTGAGAAATACTCATTATTCGACACTTATTTCTGTCTAATAGCGTATTCAGCGGATTGAAACTATGAAACCAATCAACAGATACCTCGAGATTTATCGATCTTGAAGGAGAAACCCATTAACCCAAAACTCATACGCCCAAAATACAAAAACATCAAATATAGACCCGTTAAGCATAAAACCGAGGGATTCTGAGTCTTAAGCCCATCAACCTAGGAATCTATTAATCCGAGAACCTTTTAGCTTTAGTGGATGCATAAAGCCGTATATACGAGGGCAGTCTGAAAAGTTCTCGGCCTAACAATGCAAGAAAAAACTTTCTTTGCCGTGAGATATGCCGTTTTATTTTTCAATATAATCTCCTGAAACTTTAATACATTCATTCCAACGTCTTTCCAGTAATTCAATACCATCATTAAGGTGTGATTCCGGAAGATTCTTTTCGCTCTGGTGTATAGTAGTGGTGGGTTCAAGTTTCATCAACAGTTACGAAACGACGCTTGAAATTCATTTTATTTTGCTTAAAACGATTAAAATGTGCCAAACACGCTTGAGAAATACGCATTCAAATGCGTTTTTCGTCAATCTTTAGCAAATGCGGCACCCATCTTGCACAGAGCTTTTTCAACTGATGCTACTGCTCGAATGACTTGACAGATCGAATAAAATTTCACATGGGTTTATAGTATATCAGGGATGCCACTTTCCAATACAATTATAGTTTGACAGTTTCCAATGCCATGTGTCAGGTATGTGTCAGGTATTAAGAGCCCCAAATAGTCCAAGAACCCAATCTAGCCATATCTAGTACCCAAGACACTGTACTCCAAACGATAAACTTTTAAGACAAACCCTAAACCCATGAACCCTGAAGCGATAATTTTTTCAAAATTTCGGCTAGACAGACCTCTTTGGAATTTATTCAGGATCAATCTCATCCGATTGGTGTCGGTGATCGGTCAGAAATTCAGTCAGTCTCTAGAGAATTTTCAACCAAAAAATGTCATTTGGCCCCACTGTGCGGCGACGGAATTCCGCGCCATGTGCGGATAGGACGCCATTAACCGTTGTTTACAATTCAGCGAGAAGCAATGGTGCAAAAGTTGATAGGCACTTGAACTTGAAATTCCGGTAATATCACCGCATCGCGGCACCGGATCGTCTTTATGATATCGTAACACTTTGACCAGATCGCTCTCGTCGAGAGCGAGAGCGTCCTTTCTACGCGCACATTAAGCTGGATACAGACTTGAGCACGAACTTGAGAGCGCATGAGCATGCAAGTGTGGACGTTGGTCCGAGGCGCGGCAGATTGCCTCGGATGATTCGCCGCGCACGACACGACAAATTAAGAACAGAACTGCTGACTCCGTACGACCGGAGCACAACGTCGAGCAGTCGCCTCGCCGACTTGCCTTCGTGCGTTCTCATGCGGATACTTCAGTTTTCAATCCGAGGCATTCGGTGTGGCAAGCTCAGCTTGCCTCATGTTCGCGTTCGCGCTCAAGTCCGTATCCAGCTTTACGTGCGCAACGAGCACGTTGCGGTATCCTTGCAAATTCCCCTCTGTTGAATCATGCGCAGCTCTTTACGTTCGATTAATATTCGATCGCCACTCGCCGTCTTCGCCGGCGACGGCCGAAGCTCAAATTGTCCGAGGCCGCCGTGAGCGCAAACTGACCAAGGCGATTCTCAGCGGAGGAACGAGGCGAAATAGGGGAAGATTTATACCCGCTCGCTTCCTTGAGATACGAGAGACTAAGGATGAGTGAGAAGAGATTTCCTACAGCGTGCACACGCTCACAATACTCGCTCACCAAACGAAACGGAACGATACGAGATGAGACGAGATGAGACGAGATGAGACGAGATGAGACGAGACCAGACGAGACCAGACGAGACCAGACGAGACGGGCGTGCATACAGTGCACACGCGCGAGATTCCATGCAAAATGCGCGAGCATACGGCCGCGTGCGGCCGCGTGCGTGTCACGAGCGTTGCGCCTAGCCTATCGGGAAAAGGAAGAATAAGAAGAGGAAGAGAGTCGTACATGAAAATTACATACCCTGTCTGACTTGCGCTTAAAAGGCCTCGGACGAATAACTGTAGTCAGCTAAAAGCCTCTCATACGTCAATGCCACGTTTACGAGATATCGCATGCTGGTGTAAGAGCGTGATACTTTCCCTCGATTTCGGTGTTCGCACGCCCGCTTTGTTGTACGCCTGCGACCACCACCGAGGGGTGACTACTTAGCGTCGAATTAGACACGACTATACGTAAATGACGCGTTTGAGACGCGTTTATGACGGGAGTCTGATGTGACGAACATCGTCCGGATGATGATTGAACGAATTTGCGTTAGTTTTCCTATTGACCGTAATATTATGATGTGTTCTCTTATCAATTATTATTAACCCCGTAGTCGTCAATGGACGGAAATATCCGCGCGCACTTAAAAAAATTGAAGAAAAAAGGAATACTTATAATGGAGTAACTGGAGCAGAACGCTATATTTTTTATGTTATTGCGATCGTAGGATCCAAATCCAAGGTCAAGGTGCGGAATTCGAATTGAAAATTCGGCGGATTGAAAATTCGAAAAATCGCTCTGTTCGATTTTGACCTCGGATTTGAATGCAGCGACCCTGCGAAAGACAAAATATAGCAGTATTCTGTTGCAATTATTTATGAACATATATATTTATTTATATATATATATATATATATTTTATATATTTATAAATATTTTTTTTGGAAGGGGCGAATATTTCCGTCGTCAACAGTTTGGGCCGCTTTTCTTTCCGCGGATATTTCCGTCATTGACAGCTAAAGGCTAAAAAAAGTGTCGTGCATGCGTGTGCTTATTATAGTGTCACAATTGTCTCAAGAGATAGATTTCGCACATGTTGATTAATAAATCGCGACGAAGCTCACCTTAGCTGCGACGGATCTCTTCGAGAACGTTTCTGCCATAATAAGTATACATCACTTCCCATCTGGTCGGCACCGGTTGCGTATTTTCAACAGTACATTGGACACGTTCGAGGTAACTATTTTTTAATTCACACAACGCCACTGTGCGCACGACGCGATTGTCGCTGCGTTTTTGCTTTACACCGCGCGCGGTACGTCGATTTATGAACAGCGTGTCACCGTCGCGCGCGTTCTACCTGCCGTTAGTTTTTCAAAAAAAGAAAAAAAAGAAAAAAAAAGAGAGAAATAAAAAACAGAGTCACGCACGATGCATCCAGGAAAAATGCATTCCCGGTGTAATCCTTTTCGAGTTTAAGCGTGCAGCTCCAGTTTCATCGTCGAAAAATCCGTCGAGCGTTGATAGCACTATCGAAGAATTTTCGACGTTAAATCGAGCACGCGCACGGGCGACCGCAGTTTGCGATAATCACCAGCCGCTGACGATTATAGGCGCTGACGATGATTCGGCGCGATGATTAAATTAAACGGCCACATTCGCGCCAGTTCTGCATCCCGAAGTTGAATTTTTCAGTCTCGCTCTCCGATGAGGTATTTCTCGCCGGGCGCAGGAGAAATAAGGACTGGTCGACCTTTGCACGTTAGTATGATAGCCAGGATGACATTTGCAACTGGAATTCCAACTGGTTTTGTATCGTCAGGCAGTTTGGAGCGGCGAGCGCAAGCATGCGCTTCGTCGAAAGAAACGTGAAAGTGCGTATTCGGTTTGCGTTATGCATCGGGCGATACTTCATTAACAGCTGTAGCATTTAATTGTCACGCGCGATGTGAGAAGCGCCAGCAGATTATCACAAGATAAACAACGACCGCAAACAACTCCGTGCATCATTATTATCCGGAAAAGAGAGTCTCGATCGAGTGTGACGTTCGGAAAAAAAGTCGGACGTTCTCTCATTATTTTATTAAACCACTCCACGATTATTGCGCCTAGGAGTTTGCAGTTTCGACAGCCGATAAAATATTTGAGGAAGGAAATTATTATCGCACAAAAGCGCACGTATTAACTCGGGGCACAATTCGCGCAATCTAACTTATCGACCCGGTTATTATCGAGATCGAAACTTTTCTCGCAATATTTTCATTTTGGCAACTTTATCGTATCGGAGAAGTCGTATAGATAAGTGAAAATATTTGTTACATGGAAGAGTATTCGATATCACGGTGAACAGAAGTGAAGATCGACGTTACACTCACGAGGCCTCACGTCCTGCATTGACGCACGTATATTATTAACACGGGAAGATCCTTTGGAAAAGCGACACTCACTCACTCTCTCTCTCTCTCTCTCTCTCTCTCTCTCTCTCTCTCTCTCTCTCTCTCTCTCTCTCTCTCTCTCTCTCTCTCTCTCTCTCCCTCTCGTAATCTGAAGGAATCGCGTGTTTCGCCAGGTGACTACGCGAGTCGTACCGCACGAGGCTGCCGCACCGAACTTTCGTGGTCCTGCATGGACGACATGGGAATAATAACACGGTGCGAGACAAACTCGTAAATACACATCTTTACCCTGTGGCGCCCTTTCAATCTCGGAAGAACCGCCAAGCTAAATGCCCAATTACGAGGAGTATTTGCCCGGAGTATACGGTATCGGTATCGCGTAGGTATCAATTAAAGCCGAGCTTTCACGTATTACTTTATTAAAGCCACTTGAATTTCGTCACATAGCTCCGTCCGGAGAGAACGAGCTTTGTAACACGAGAGAGAGAGAGAGAGGGAGAGAGAGAGAGAGAGAGAGAGAGAGAGAGAGAGAGAGAGAGACTATCGGATATCATATCTCGTGTCCTAGCTCGTCATCATGCACGTCATGCGCACTTTTCACCTCAATTACCATACGAGTCACCTACGAGTTGTATTCCGCAGAATTCACTCGACATACGAAACTGTGCGTGCGACACAATTTTCAGGAAAAATCAAGTAAAATGGAAGCGCTCTCTCGCGCGGCGCGCCAGGCACTATCGCACTATCCGACATTCAAGGTCGAGAGGTCAGTCCTTTCAAAATCACGTCGCATCAATCCGTAACAATCGTCGCGTTTCTAGGCCAACTCTCGCGGATAAATCCACCGTATGGCGCGTGCACCTGAAACGTCACCTTTCTCTCTTTCTGATCGCGAGCAGATCGGCGAATCGCTCGTCCGACAAATCCCATGATCGCGAGCGGGCGCGCACGCGCGCGCGCTCTCTCTTTCTCTCTCTCTCTCTCTCTCTCTCTCTCTCTCTCTCTCTCTCACGCGCGTACCGTTAACAACGATAAATTAAACGAGAGAATATCTCGCGAGCGCGCACACCTCAATCGGCGGCACACGACCGACGAGCGTGGAACTTGCGAGGGAACTGCCGTCGGGGAACTGCGACGACGGCTTTCCTAATCGCTCGCACCGTTCTTATCGCCAGGTTGAACCACGTGATACACACTCGGGCTAGTCACAGCAAGTAGAGAAACACGCGTCGTCGTCGTCGTCGTCCCCCGTCGAAATCACATGGTCGCGGCGAGGAGGACGCGCACGATCCCGTGATCCCGGAGACCGGCGGTACTCGAGGAAACGAGCACCGGTGAACGCGCGACGAAAGACTGGCCCGCAGGACCCGTAAGAGGTCCCTTTACCGCCGGGGCCCCGATGATACAGCGGACGGTGGTCGCTAATGGCCAATGGCGTGCGGATAAGAGGAAAGGACGTAGTCCTAGGAAGGATCCCGCGATGTGGAAAAGGAGGAACTGACCGACTCGTCGTGACGAGCGAGTAAGAAGCCGTGGAGTAACGGAAGAGAGAGGGGGTGGAGGCGAGTTCGGCAGAGGCCGGTCGAGCACCTGGGCGACATTACCTCCTTGCGTCTTCCGACTGCTCCTCGCAGGCACCTTCGTACCTTGACGTGGCTCTCTCTCTCTCTCTCTCTCTCTCTCTCTCTCTCTCTCTCTCTCTGCCTCCCTCTTCCTCTTTCTTTCTTTCTCTTTCTCTTTCTGTCTGACTTCTCTGTTCCTTTCTCTCTCTCTCTCTCTCTCTCTCTCTCTCTCGCTCTCTCGCTCGCTCTCTCTCTCTCTCTCCCTGTCTCGTGCGCGAAATGCTTCGTGCACGCGTCGAGTGCAGTAGTGCGTGCGATAGCGGGCCGAAAATTTTCAACCGCGACTCTTGATCATCCGTCTCGTTGGAATTGACTTGTTCAATTTCACCCGCAATCAGTGTCACGGAAGACGCGATGGATCTGTTCGCTGCGTTGTTCGATCGAATTTAACATATTTGTCAGCGTGACGCTTTTTTGCAGCGTCGCTCGCTGGAGCCCCCCCGATCAGGCCTGGAGCTTTGGCCGGATTCTGTGATGCTGCTCGAAACTATGCGCCTATGTACGATTTTCGCGCAAATCGCAAGAATAAAATTAGACGATTCCGTTCCGGAACAGCGTTCATCACTGTTCGAGTGTATATAATATTTAAGCTCGAACGCGTCTCGTTCGAATGTATGAAGCAGATAGCGTTCGTTCGCGAAGCTCGGCACGGCTCAACGACGGGAGATCGTAAATTGTCGATGAGCTTTCCAGTTTCAAGGAATGGGGAAGCTGCATCGGTCGCCGTTGGCGCGTTTTTTAACGTTCCATGATTATGATCGATCCCCGCTCGCACTGGCCGATCGTACGTTATACTTATGCGCTATTTCAATTTTGATGCAACATCCTGTCAGAGGACGCGCCTTATTCCGTCATGGAAGATCAAGCGCGCTTCATGTCCACAGTGATCATTAAACGTAATGAACCGAGCAGCGCTCGGCGTGATTATCTTGTAGATTCTAGTATCTTTCGTCACTTTGGCACACGCGGCTGCTCTTTCGAACTCGCTGTGTGTTGTGACAATCGCTCAGCTGCAGGATGTCCTGGGAACGGACACGGAAGGTGAAGCGATACATCTTCCCGAGCCAATTCGCGTTAATGGAAACGTTAATGGAACTGATAGTGCTGCTCTCGCAAATAGACTTGCAGGAACGTGCGAATGAATGATGGAACTATATTCATCGATCGACTCGCGCTGGATCTTGCACTGCTGCTAATAGTTCAGGAATATGAGACATCAAAGTATGAAATATCGCGACGTACGATGACTCCGAGGAGGAGATCATTTCCGGAAGCGATGTATACGTGCGCTTCCCGTTAACTTCTGGCCACCCTGGACATCCTCGTACTTGACGCTCGTCTTGCATCGCATTTACCTCGCAACACGCGCAATCTCGCCACTTGATCATAGTTTCACGCGTGATTTGCGGATTTCCTCCGACCAGCAGTCGTCCATCCTTTTAGGAGGGACATCCGTTTAGCGAGAAGATCGCGCTACGAGCGCACGCGTCTGCATCAGGCGCAAGCCTCGCCGGAGAATTTCGTTCACGGAATCATTCGTCATAATATTATGATATGCAAATACCGTATTATAATCCCCGCGCGAAGAAGCGTATCGTGCAGAAGACAACCGTGACGCGCGGCATTAGAGAGATAGCCCTCTTAGCCGCGGAAGGGTCGAAAGAGCGGATGCGCGCGCGAGGTCGTTCCGTTAACGCGATCGCCGTGAGACGCAGCGGACAAGTGTGCGCCGATTCCGATCGCCGATCGGTAGGACGAGCGATAGTCGCTATTGCGACGACGGGTCCATCGACGCGACGCGACTTATCTCTCTCTCTCTCTCTCTCTCTCTCTCTCTCTCTCTCTCTCTCTCTCTCTCGCTATTCGAGTCTATAAGGTTTCGGCCCCTGAGAAACGGATCTCGGCCTCTTTTCTATTGTCGTATTCTAGACCCGCCGGTGTCGCGGAGTAAATGCTTGATAAGAGTTCTTAAAACGACGGCGACCAGCAGGAGACGACCGTATGTGCCACCCCCCCTCTCTCTCTCTCTCTCTCTCTCTCTCTCTCTCTCTCGGGACCACGGACGACGAATCCGTTCCTGGCGCCATGGTGTGTGCCACAAGATGTGGTACGGTGGTGTGTGGTTGCCAGTTGCACGCCGGCCGATACCCGGTCTCCAGTCTGGCTGCAGCTGCGAACCGGTTATATACTTTCATCTGGCAGTCTTAGCACGGTCCCTAAAAGAGAATCCGATGACTATAGCCGCGCGCGCGGTGCGCGAGGCGCGCGAGGAAAAGAGAAAGGAGAGAAAATGGAAGGGAAGGTTAATGCCTGTACCAAGGCACGCTTATGCATTGGAATAAAGGACGTCCAACACCGTCTCCCCCGCTGTCCCCTTCCTCCCGCCCTCCTACTTCTCCTCCCTCTCTCGTGTATGTATCGTGTATACGTGTGTGTGTGTGTGTGTGTTTTTTTTTCTTCGACTCTACTACTTCTTCTGGTACACCGGCAACACTCTCTTTGGCGAGGCTGCATACTTAGCCGCGAGTGTGGACGATCGTTCAAAAAGCGAGCCTGCGCTCGCGCGCACGACCACGAGCGCAGCGATGTAAAGGCAATATTTGACGAGATCGGGTGACAAGCGTTGCTACACCGCGACGAAACGCGCATCCTGTTCGACCGGTAACGTGCGCGACGTCGGCTACGTGTGCGTACCCCGTAGGCCAATAGTTCGACCTTGCGGACTGGAGTAGAGTGACACCGGCTAAAAGTTCGACGTATCGGCTCGCTCGACCGCACGCTTTCCACACGAGATCGAACTGGAACAGAGAGATAAATCGCTTGGTTAGTTACTCGGCGAGAAACTCGCGGCGTCGCGCGGGTCGACGCGCGTCTGTACCGTACGTGTGCGTTGCATTCTTGCGATATATTCTCGTATATTGTTCTTCTTGTCTTCCTCTTCTTCTTCTTCTTCTTCCTTGAATCTCTCTGAGGACTCTCTCACTGCACTCGTGTGACGGTCCCACCTATCGTCCCACCTCTCTGTGCAGAGATACGGACCTCTGGACTTGAACATGAAGAAACACGTAGAACCTTTAAAAATATATATAATACTTTGCACACACCGCGAGCTCTCTAAGCTTCGAATTTGTTTTTCTTACAACTCAGCCGGTAGCGACACGCTGGTCACGTAGGCCTTAAAAACGTTGACATAAGCTACGCGAATTATATGACGGCTATAACTTCAATGATACATCCGCTCTGTGAGTACCATTCTCGCTATGTGCGCGCTCTTGTCGCGAGGAAGAAGCGATACGGGAAGAAGCAGGACTTTGAGCCGCAAAGAGGCGCACTATGTTAATATTTTATCCTTGTGCTTATCTTGTGCGCGGCTGTCGCTTAAAGGACCATCCGACAGCTGTAACTGCGAGCGTTGCTTGAGGATCAGACGGAAGGAGAGATGGAAGTAATGCGGAAAGCGTTGACGTACCAAAGCACAGTTACGTCTCCTTTTTCCGTTGAGCTACTCCTGATACAGCGCGGCCGCGCTTCTTTGGGCAAGTCGAGTACGAAGTCGAATGGCGACCATCAGTGGAATGAGAATTTTTTGACACGAGCTTGAGCGTCACGGGATGTAGATAGCTTTCAAATGAAGCGCTGAAATCCCAAAGAGGGAATCAAACTTCCTGCATTCCAGAATTGATACACGTCGTGAATTGGCGGGAAAAAAGGCTCGCAGAAGAAGCGAAATGAAATGAGTAAAGACGAGAGAGGAGAGGCGCGAATATTAAAGTATACGCACGGCAAATGTTAAAATTTCTTTCTCTCTCTCTCTCTCTCTCTCTCTCTCTCTCTCTCTTTTTTCATCTGTGGACATGCGCCGAGTTTGAACGGAACAAATTATGAGAAAGCGACGTTTGCGCGATATCCGGATTAATGGATTGACGTAGATAGCGGAGTGGATGGCGCGAGAGACTTCAACGGTTCGCGAGCGTTTACATTTACGGACAATTTATTGCTACATCGTCCTACACGACGACATCCTCGTCCAGAATGGCTTCTGATACGTTGTCCCAATGTTATCTGTGATATTTTTTACGCACGATCCGCCGTATAAGTGCTGTCAAGGCCTGCTAGCTCGAGATTTCACGATTGTAAAGACCACGTAACGCAACGGACCACCATGACCAATTGAAACGAAAAGCCTTGAGACAAGAATATGTGAGTGACACTCAAAGAGGAATGGAGGAGGAGTTTTATGGAGGCGGTGATAAATTTGGCGATTGCGAAAGGATCTAATGTAAATCGATACGAGATGTAATGGAAATTGTAGCCTTTGTCGAGTTTTTTTAAAACGGCAATAAAGCGTAGTTTTTCAAAGAATTTAGAAAAGACGCGGTTTAATTTACCTTGTCAACAATTAGATAAAATCATAAATCATTAGACCGTGAAAAACTAGTTTTTCTTGTGATAGATGCCATTTTTTTTAAAAGATGAAATAAATGTTGTGAACTTTAAGAAAAATTTACCGAAGCACATATTTTATATACATATATATGAAAGCGGTCTGTTAAAATTTTTCAGGTAAGTCACATTGTTTTTTATTATTTTGAGCATGAAACGACGAGATCAATCTTAAACTAGCAATTATCGTCGTATGCGCTACTTATATGTTTAGCGATATTCTTTTGTAAATTTTCACTTGTAAACTTTTTCTCTTTCTTCTTTTCAAGATCTTTACAGTACTGCTATTATTTTTATTCTATAATGTGCTATATGTAGTAAATTAGCTGTTCTCGATACTTCGTGTTACAAGGTTCAGGAAAGTGTGCGACATCTGAGGTTCGCTGCTGAAAGCGACGAACGTAGTCGGTTAGTCAAACAAATTTAATTGACTGTAGGTACATGATGATCCGGATGTCTAGTTAAGTCCAATCGGCTCAACAGATGATCGAATTTTTCTATATTTCAAACTTGTACTAACACTAGCGTCGGACTCTAATTTTCATGTGATACTATTTGTCGACAGCATCTCTTGAAGGTAAAGCAGGTTTTTTAAACTCCAAAAGTCAGTTCTTCGTATCTGAGTATAAAATTTACGTGATTTAATATTTCATATAAATAGTATCTGTCCCACGACATGAAATATTAAACTCAACACCACCTTTATCTTAATCTAATAATTAAAAAAATTAAATAGCAAAAACGTGTATAGTATGTATATAGATCAAAATTATTATGAATAAAAATATGCCGCAGAAATAAATCCGAACGGTAGGAATCAATTCCTTCCGCCTAAACTCAGTTTTTTGCTTTCTTTTCTTTTTCCCTCCACGATCGATTCTCTTTCTATCTCAGAACAATGGTGATATACTTTTATTTGGCGGCTTTTACTGTTTCTTCAAACAGATGCACTTTTTAAATTTTTATACCATCTTTAAATTGTCCTTTTGTGATATGCGATTTAAATGTCTGGGAAGTACTTTTGCCATTTTACTTCCCGCGTCACTTCCATTACGAGATCGTGATTCCTAGAGTTACTCGTCGTTCCAATGAGAACGCTACCGCGTGACGACCCGACGGACGTGCTCATCTCTGAAAAGAAAAAAAAAGAAATGGTACCATTGCTCTATTAAATTAGCGGCTTCTGCCTGCTGTCTCTTTCCCGTCAACGATCGACTTTCCGCAGGCGGTGCCCCACCATCTCTACGAATATATCTTCCCCTGGCAAGGTGGCACAGGTGACCGGAGGTTGTGACGGGGGGAGATCCCCCGGTGCACGGCTCGGGGAACACGATGGGCTGAATTTAACTTGGAACAACCGTACGTTTTGTGGTGTTCTGTGCACGGTCAGTGCTCACGCCACGAACGAATGCCAGGCAACGATCCGCGCTCTCGACGGGAACCACGCTGGCTTCGCTCGAACCTCTTCAGTTTACTATCGTAAGCTCGCTCGTACAGGTGAGCGTCGCGCTCACGGCGATCGAGTGACACGGTTCTACGAGAATTAGGGACGAGCGCGTCCGCCGATGCCTTGATTCGCGCGATTCATTCAGATGAGAGATACGCAGTTTCGACGCAGCGATGCGATTGTCGAGTGCATTTAGAGCCCGGAGATGTATCAATATGTGATACGTTACGTATCGCGCGAAAAGTGTGCTTAAAATATAACAAAAGTCGGCTGGAGGGAGTTGCACTTTTTCAACTCATGCGAAAATCTATGTTTGGTTAACGACGGATGACTGCGTAGAGTTTTCTTGAAAACTCGTACGGGCACCTCGAAGCGCGTCGATTGTCGATTGTAGTAATGTGCTTGACGAAAAATACGAATAATCGCGTCAGTTCGATCAGTCAGCGACGATTTAGCGCTAAAAGAACCGGCGATGGAAACGAACCAACTGATTTAATCCGATTGGTGAGCTCGCTGGTACTACTGGCACACTTGGACATACAAATATATCTCGCGCGCTTAGTGATTACGCTAACGATAGTGCTGACGAACGTGCTGACGGCTCGAGTTACGATAGAACAACTGTGCAAATAGAAACATTCATTTTCATGTCTGCCGCCCCGGTTGTTCCCGCCCTCACACTGTACATCGCATGAGAGTTCTGGTGATTCCGGTAAGTACAAAACACACGTGCAAAATGCGACGACCGCATTCGTAATCACGACGATGCTCTGTCGTACGCTCATCGCGTCGAGATCGAATCGAGCTGATATTTTTCCGCAGCGAAAGATATTATTTAATGATTTAATATAAGACATATTGAATCGGTTTCTAATAAGGACGATTTCACGAGAAAATTCATATCGATCGGTTGGCTCAAGTGATTAAAATATTTGGCATATGAAGTCAATATCTACTTGATTTTCATATTTCAATATCCCGACCCTTTTATCGGATTTGTTTGACCGTAAAGAGGCGGGGACTGGCAATTTTTTAGAAAGTTCCGCAGAACTTTTAAAACGTGACATTGACAGACAGCGCGTCCATCACAGTCGACACCCTGATACGAATTATGCCAGTGCGGAATCTCACGAATCTGACGTGCAATTAATGCTTATCTGACGCCACCACGCTGGAAGTTTAATTCGCGAAATCAACGTTATTGTTAGCCGGTTCTCGATAATCGACCTTGTGCTCCGCATAGCATATACGTTTCATACAGTTAATATTGCACGTCGACTTTCAATAAGCTTCAGTAGCAAGAGGAGATTCAATGGGAGGATTGAAGGAACGTTATTGAAATTACAATGTGCAAAACACGAGTGAATGGAATCTTTCCATCATTCTTAATACGTAAAGTCTTCAGTTATGACGTTCAGTTTTTATTTCATAATTTCTACCTAGATAAACATACATAAATTTTACACAAGTAAAAGTAAATTTATTTAAGATGATACTCGATCACTATTTGCTCGAATCATTTTTGAAATCAATTCAAAGTCATCGTTAATTATCTAATTAATTAATTCGAGACATTCATGGATTTTTCCCTCATGTTGTTTGACCCGTCTCCGTTATGTGTCACGACTTCCGTTTATTACGGAATCAAAATTAAGCGTTAAGGCAGCTAACTGCACGCTGGACACTCGACAATAGTTAGCACTGACCCAAATTTCTTCACGACGACATATTAATTATTCAACGAGAATTTCCATGACGCAAGGTTGTTAATCGCATTTTGATTCAGTTATGCCGACGTTATGACATCTCGTCTTTCTCATCTTTAAATAATATAATCACACACGACGACGCTATTGTGGTTCGTGATAATTAATTCTTACGAGACTCGAGACATTGCTAATTTCGTTCCCACAAGTAACGTCTCGTTATAGCGCAGTGTGAAAAGGAAATTCGTTTTACTTATACGCTTCACCGTCGCGGCAACATTTGTCTGTGGTCGTAACGTCAGGTGTAATTGCGCCGTATAACAGAGAGAACTCCGGAGTCGGCGAATTTTTGCGAGTGGGAATATAGTCGGTGCAATGTAGTAACAGTTCTCAAGTTATTTATCCTTCCCCTGAAGAAAGAAAGAGCGATTAATTGGAACTACACAATGTCAAACGAAATAACGTAGAGTTGGCTAAAGAGAGTTTTCAAAATCGACAATTCCTGTTAATTATAAGCAAACAAGGTATTGAGACAATTGAATGCAAAATTAAAATTTTTTATTTTCCGGTGAGAAAAGTTTGGCTTTAGTTTCGCACAAAGGGTGGCATATAATTCGAGAGACTTTTTTTCGCATACGCTCTTTCTACCCGTGGAAAGTTTGGATCGACCACGTCTATGTTAGAATATTGTCGAAAAAAGAAGAATACGCTTCAATATTACAAGCTGCCGGCGTGCCCACATCCACCGAAAAGATCCTTTACACATGTGCTCGTGGTGGATGGGGGAGCCCGTCACGCGAGGAAATTCTCTATGGGGTTGGCTGGGCAACAGACAGTATTATGGTGTATGTCAATATCCCGGACAGTGTTATCATTCGGAAGCATGCATGGCAGGTGTAGGAAATGACGTCACGCACCTCGGGACAGCCCCGCTGGAAATACGACCTTACTGCCCCTTTATTCGAGGCAACGTGCATAGAGAAAGCTTCCTTTATGCAGATACAAGTTTCCATTTGCGATGCGATTACCAGGTGGCGTACGAATAATTTTTGCGTTGAAAGCAAAGCAGAAATAAAAGGAAAAAAAAAGAGAGAAAGAGAGAGAGAGAGAGAAAAGTCGTGGATTGCCGAATAATAAAATTATTCTCCGTTTGTGACGCATTCTTATCGATCGATCTCTCTTCGAAGTACTTCGCGATACGAAGGTGAATGCAATTATAAGGAGTTAATTTTCGAAGAATATCTTAGTCACGCGATCTTATACGTGCCACGTATTCAAATATTGCACTTCGATATAATAAAGGATTTAAGTGAATCATCGTGGGTAACTACTAATCGCGGTCGATAAAACCAAGCGATGACAGCGTGGATTTGTTTTGTAGTTGGTAAACAATGATTGTACACAGATCTCGAAAAGAAAACAATACGGAATCTTTTGGAAACGAAAAATTGTGAAGATTAATCAGATGAGACTGAGAAGAAAAGTATCAAGTATCATTTTGCAAAAATCGCAATAACTATTAAGTTATTAATAATTGAAGATAACCATATCTAGAAACTCTTTTAATCGATAACTTAAAAATTTGCGTACTTATTTGCAAAATGGTAGAGAACTTTTTTGTTCAGAATGTTCTAATTTACAATTATATGACGTCTATCGTACCTGGCGACAGGTTCAAGATTCAGGATTCAGAGTTCAATATGTCTGTCGTTAGATTTTTTACGATATCGCTCGTCATTTTTAATCATTAAAAACTTAATGACTAATGAGATTTTTGTAAAACGGTACTCGACTCTCCTTTTCAGTTTCGCTTAATTAATCTTCACAATTTTTCGTCTCCAAAGGATTGTTCATCATATTATCACTAAAATATATACAGAGAAAACAAAAATATATACAGAGATTGTAACGCGATGGTTTTGAAGTGAACTATCTTAAAAATACACGCATAAAAATTGATGAAAATCGAACAACGCGCCGTCGATGCGAGAGAAAATTGCGCTGCCGAGTTTGGCCCTTTATCGAAGTACATCGGAATAAAATCTGACTCGTTTCCTGTGTTTGTGTGGAAGCATACAGTCTTTATTTGCTTCGAAATCAGATAGCGGACGCACATCGTGCATATTTGAATACGCGGGTATTCACACACCGAGCATCTTCGCGTCAGCCTGTTATTTAGCAGAGTCTTAAAAGTCAAGAGCGTGGCCGATACACTCTGTTGGCAAGAGGAGCACCGTTCGGCGTACTCAGTCAGTGTTCTTTAAGTGTCAAGCTATCCTAAAGGAGAATCTTTACACGAGCATGGGTCAGCGAGAATATTCCTTCCGCCTACCTGTCTTGCTGAGCGGTCAAGCGTCTCGGGAAATTACCGGATGTCCTTTTAATCCTCAATGTACCCTATTGTGCTGTTACTTAAATTAATGGATTGCTTTATAGATTGCTATTAAAAAAATAAGTAAATCTTCTCTTTGCTTTTTGGAAGAAGGAACTTTGTCTCTCAAAGAAGGAACAAAGAAAGAATAATGACTAAGAAAAAACTCGAAAACTAAAATTGCTTCTGATGGAATTTTTATTGTATATATCGAAGAATAACGAAATTCTGTGACAATACATTTCTTTCAATAAGCGCAATCAACAATCAAGTTGCTTCTCTTACCGCAAAAGTCAGCTGGCGCAATTTTCAAAAATTTCTCTTCGTTGTACTTTCTCGGAAGTGGAGTTTGAGATAAGGTCTTACAAAAATTTACTTGGAGTTAACTGGAAACTATTCCGTTATGCCTTAGTTTTCCGAAATGGAGGACATTATTAAAGACTTAATTGGAGCTACTGTATAATGTTGTAAGCCCTCCCTCGCCTAATTGGACTTCGTAATTTTCGTATCGTAGCGTAGACATTAATTCGTTCTAAGTCGTAGCGCACATCTTTTCGAGATTAATACGCGAAAGAAAATTTGATATAGACGGAAGATATTATATCATCGCTTCGTTAGCCGCGTAAGATTCCAAGAGTACCGAGCCATTAAGTGTACCTTGCGTAATGAGTGGCGGAGAGGTCTAGTTGGGAAAATCATTCTCTTTTAATCATAATGCGTTCGTACGTCACAATTTAAGCGCCGTGAGAAAATGTCGTTTCTTCCGGTAGGCTTTCACTCCGGCTTAATCTCCGTGATCGTTCGGGATTAAGTACTCTTGACATTGCATCAAGACGACGTTTTACCGAGGAGAAAGCAACCGCTCAGCGTGGATGCTGGTTTACTACTTATTAAATTAAATACACCTGACAATAAATAGATCGATATATGTTTGTGAAATTAAAATGTGTGCGTAATTTGAGAAAGATGTACGATAGAAGAACGCAGAGTATATATATGCGAGAATATTTTTCGGCGGAATACGAGCTATATAAGCAATAACACATACCGTGCTTCTATTTTACACTATTAATTCGTACCGGATAACTTTCCGATTAAATCTGGCTCCCAGCCCCATTTCTACTTCTAACTAAATTTATTTTTCACAGAAGAAAGTCGCAGCGGATACGCTATAATTGCACGATCGGTTTACGTACCGATTTCAGGACACCGAAAGCTGATCTAATCGTGGAACGTTCTACGAAAGCGATCATGTCGATTAGAAGTATCTCTCCATCAAGATGACGTCGGATAAGCAAACGGATTCGTCCTCTTGGCTTTTACGATCCTGCAAGAGAAGTCGGTTTAAAATAGAATTATTCTACCTGGTTTTCGGATGTTTGTTGACGCATTGTTCGGCTAGAAACAACCCTCCCAGATTCCTCATAGACGGACACACGGAGATCGTGCTTAGGCTAAAGGAAGGACCAGAAACTCCAATTGGTAACAATTATTTCATATTCTTTCTAAGAGACACACACAATTTTACACTTTCTTCATCCTCTAAACTAAAGTTCCCTCACAATTCGGAGATATTTTCATTGTAAACCGCTTCATATCTTCTTGCAAGTTTTTGATAGATCAGTATTTTGCTATGTTATAAAGGCACACTTGCGAAATGCACACTTCTCGTGTGTATTAACATAAATTTTTAAGCGGCGCAACGTAAAAGTACAACGGTCGTCCGACGAAGAAGATAGCCATGCGAAGATTTACCTGTTGCGTAGAAATTTTTATTCGACTTTGATACGCATGATGTAGGGGCACGAGCGCGTATTAATGTACACACGCGCCAGGTGCCGCTATGATGTGCCGGCTACGGATCACAAAATTTATTACTGGCTTAACGCTTCAACTTTCGAGCACCGTTGTACGAACCGTTGCTGGCTCGTTTCTAGCCACGCGGATAAAGTTCGCGTTTAATAATCTTCTTCTATGTGGCTTTCGCCACAAGGCGCCACACAAGCTCTTTTTCATCCAAATTGTTGTGTTTAGATAAGTGGTAGAAAGTGGTGGTTAAAGTAGTTAGAAAATTTGTCTTAATTATCTTCATTAAGATATCTTCCTAGTTAATCACTTAACGCACACACACGGTTGCACGGTAAGAAAAATACTCTCTATAATAACTGCGATACCTCTTTTATTATCAGTATTACATATTTGCACATAGTGCAGACATCTTAGTATAAAAAGAAATTGTTCTCAGGCAGCAGTATTTACAAACTCAAAGGCTTCGATGAGGACGGTGACAAGTTGGTATTTGGCGTCCGGGATCAGCCCGGTAGCGATGTGATTCGAGTCGTGAATATTAGCCCCACCGAAGCCAACATTTACCTGAACAAGTTGCTGGACAGAGAGGTAATTTAGAACATTCCTCTTTCTCGGTATTCGCTCGTAGTGGCGAAAATTGCGCAATAAACGGCTAATGAATGTTCAGCCCGCAATTAATAACGCACTCATCGGAATTATGAGTTGGGTAGTAAAAATATTTAGCTCCTGAGATAATATCCTCAGTATCCTGAGTGGAAGCCTCGTAAAGTCGAGGGTCACGAAACGAAAATTATGTCTTAATAATTGTTCGTTTCAACGACGGCTGAGAACTGTATTCGGTTAAATGAGATGTTTAGAGAGTTACTGGCCGATCGGCTCAACTAGGAAGGTAGAGACAATGCAGGAAGGAATACCGCAATAATTTTTACGTCGGTCTCAACGCTGTACTTATCTCTGTTTCGCACGAACGATTTACGTGCTATAAGTTCGCTTCCACTGAACGGAACCTCGCTCATCAGCCCGTAGAGCAGCTAGATATTTTACTGCCTAAGGAAAAACACTCCTACCAAATAATAGTAATTAAAATCGTTGCAACTTGCAGTTTATTTTTGCCCTATCGCTTATATTTATCTCGCTGACAATTCCAAGAATAATTCCACGTTAACCGTGCACCGCACGTGGATCGGCGTAAATAATTTTCGTAATTCTTCTGATGGTGAATTGTCCCTCCGTATTTCACTTTATCCCTGTTATCCTTCTTACGGTACCGCCAGTTACAGCCCGGCAATGTCGAAAGCATTAAAGAGAAATTCAAGTAACGTCGGCGGAGACGGACCGATAATTCGAAACCGATCATCTTCGCGTGGATCCACTTCGCAAGGCTGTCATTTGTCGCGCTATCATCGGATAGCACGCGCAAACTAACGCGGCTCTGAAATTAACTTTCTATCGGCGATGATATAGTACGCGCGAGCCGAGATGATCGTCGCACGCGCGATACAATTTTTAAAACCTACTTCCAGCGTGTCCACCTTGGGTTGTCCACCTCCGCGAGATCCGCTTGACTCCTACGTCTCACCTCCTTTCCTGGAGATATCGCGAAGCACGATAAGGACACGCGCGAGAGTGCTCTATATCTTCGTATTTCGAGCGTATTCTGCGCGCGGCTTCTTTCCAAGCTGATCCGATGTTGAACGTTATCTTTGCCTTGTCTCAGACCAAGGATGAATTTGCGCTCGTGTTAACGTTGACGGACGGCAGACTGGGCGAGGGAAATTTCATCACGCAGAGCTTGCTGCTTCTGGTCGAAGATATTAACGATAACGTACCGATCTTTCGTCCACACCCGCCCTCGTTGACCCTTCGTGAAAACGCCAGGCCGCGTGTTTTAACGACGCTGGAAGCCACCGACGCCGACCTGGGCGCCCATGGCCAAGTGGTCTATTACTTGCAAGAGTTGGATGGCGACAACAATCTCTTCAATATTACAACGGTGAATGGCAAGGGTGTCATACGCTTAGTCGGCTCGTTGGACTACGAGCGGAAGTATCTGTACCAACTGAGGATCCTAGCTGTGGATCACGCGATAAGCGAAAAGGTATGTTTTATACGCAAAGACAAAGCAATTTATTAAAACGACTCATATAAAAACAGTTATTATCCCGAAGTTAAATTATATCTATAATTATAGTTGAATGCAGAACTTGCGTTATCTAATAGTATATGAGTGTTTACTCGGCATCTCCGAAGCAATAAGGGTATTGTCTAACGCGAAACACGTGGATGTTTCGTAGACGAAACCCGTGCAAAATACGGTAATCGGATAGTTCAATGATTTTCTTTCGCAAAGACAAACGAAGGCAACGAAGGTGAACAATGCCAGGAGACAATTATATCTACATCTATTCGGCTACTTGCGTGAAGCAATTTCCTACGTATCTACGGTAATTTATTTATACTTTATTATTACAGGTAAACACAGGAACAACCGCGATTTTGATCAACGTACAGGATGTGGAGGACCAGCCGCCGGAATTCATAACCATGACGCCTGTGGCGAGGATCAGCGAGAATTCCAGGATTGGCACATCTGTTCTGCAAGGTCAGCATTACATCGCCTGATACAATCTCACAGCCGAGATCAGGAGATTAGATATGATATATTAAGAACACATATCAAGATAAAAAGTATTTATTCCTTTTGGTTTAAACGATGTAACTGCAACGTGTCAATATTTTAACTGCGGAGAATTCGCGTAACGGAATTTATTTACAGATGAATTAAGAAATATAAGAAATTAATAAGAACGTTAAGCGTTAATACACGTCGATATTCACGTCATGTCTGTTTGAATTTTATAATTTTTGAGATTCCTTAAAATATCCAATATATAAAATTGAAAAAATATATTGTTTGTATCAGGAAGTTGAATTAGAGTTCTGGTCCCTTAGCTGTAGATGGCTTTAGTAACAAGTTAATGATTACAAATGTTGGAATCTGACAACACTGAAAGATTTGACATTTCTCTATATCATATATGATATATGACAGTTTGCGCACACTATTGTTACTAATAGTTTCATTGTTCATGCGCAACTAAAATGGATCGCACAAAATTGCACTTTTGACATTCATTACTTTTTGGTTTGATTTAACAGAATCGGCAATTGAAGCTCATGAAATGGCTTGTTACAATTTATGGTGATCAAGCTCCAATCGTATTCCAATTGTAAATTTTGGTTTTAACGATTCAAAAGTGGCCATTTCGATTTGAGTGACAAAGAACGTACTTGACCAAAAGAATTCCAAGATTCTGAATTGTAAGCATTATTAAATGAAAACACCGTTCAAACGGAAAAACAATTGGCTGAATAATTCACGATCGATAAATCAACAATTTTTAAATGCCTACACGCCGTAGGAAAAATTCAAAAGGAAGGCAAATCGATTCCACATGAATTGAGTGGAAGTGCCATTGCAATTCGTTTGAACGTCACCATGTCTATGCTTGCTAGACAGAAAGAAAGTTTCTTGTGGAGAATTGTAACTGGAGATGAGAAGTAGATTTATTCTGATAATCCAAAGTGAAAAAATCACGGGTTAACTAAGATAACCACATCAACATCGACATCAAAACGGAACATTCACCGTCACAAAGGAATGTTCTGTATTTGGTGGGATATGGGAGGTATGGTGTACTATAAACTTTTAAAACCGAATGAAAGTTACGGGGGGAACGATAACAGCAATAATTGAATAAATTGAATGATGAATTGATGCGAAAAAAGCCAGCGATAGCTAGCAAAGTGATTCTTTTGCACGATATTACTCATCTGCATTGCTTCAATCGTTAGACAAACATTGTTAGAGCTCGAATGGGAAATCTTGCCGCACCCTGCAGCGTACTCTGCAGACCTAGCACCATCTGCTTATCATTCATTCCGATTGATGCAACACGGCAGACACATTTCAATAATTACGAGAATGTCCAAAAATGGGTGTCTGATTGGATCGCTTCGAAAGACAAATCGTTCTATCATCGCGAAATCGCTATGTTGCCAGAAAGATGAGAAAAAGTCACAGCTAACGACGGAAAATATTTTGATTGATGTAAATTTAACCATTTCTTTAAAATAAAGATAAAAAAATTGACAAAATAAGACCAGAATTAATTCAACCTCCTAATACATTGAAGAAACTGCTTTATTTCCAAAATCTGTTGAAGTAGGTGTATAAGATATCTTGGCTCTCTAACGATGTGATGATAAATTGTATTGCAGTTCGTGCCGTGGACGGCGACAAGGGGATAAACAACAAGGTTACGTATAGTATTACAGAAGGGCCGAGATATCTATTCGATATTGATGCAACGTCCGGCCTCGTGTTCACTACCGCACCGTTAGACAGAGAAGCCGACGAGAATAGCGATGGCGCTTACATTCTGGAAATTACGGTGAAAGAAGTGTCGAAGATCGTTCCAGCGCCGTCCGTGATTACCGAAGTCACAATCATCCTCACAGATGTGAACGACGAGACGCCCAAGTTTAGAAGCATGCTATACCGCGCTGAAATAAACGAGAATGCGCCGCAAAATACTCCGGTCAGTTTCATCGGTGATGCCGTGCCAGAGATTTTCGATCACGACTTGGTGAGTTCAAAAAGAAATCACGAATAATTCCAACACAGTAAGTAGATGCTCAAGGTCTAAGAGTAAAAATATTACTTTTCCATGAGAAGTAATATTCTTCTTCCTCTTTCTTCCCAGCGAGTCTCAAGAATGCCTTTTGCGAGTATGGTGAATTCTTTTTCAGGGTACCAACGGCACGTTTCAAATATTTATCGAAGGTGACGGTGGAATGTTCGATGTTACGCCATCCCGAGGGATTAACGAGGCGCCGTTTTTAATACGCGTTAAGGACTCGAGCAAATTCGATTTTGAAAAAATATCAGGTATGAAAAGGCGGCTCTGAGGCTTCTTTTTCGTTTATCTAGTTAGATGTATTATTACAAAATTAACGCGGTATAAATCTTCATATTAACGTTCCAACCTGCGGTGAAGTCGACCTTAATGTAGTCAAGGTCATCATTCTGAGTAACATTTAAAAGGTTTTAGCTGTAGCTCATTGTTTATTAAAAAGTTATCGACGAAGCAAGTCTGTTTTGAAGAACATGACGATTCATTTTAGCACATTTAGAGGCCGTATTTCGTATATACTGACAGTGCGTCGTGTAGAGACAAACGTCGACAGAGTGGGAAATTTTCGTGAAAGATAATGAATTTTTAAATTTTTCAATAATGTACAGTTAGGTTAAATTCTTTTAGGGTGCGGGCTTTGCCCCCTTTTCATTTATACACACAGGATAAGGAAAAAATACCGGAACAGCGAAATATCTTGAAAACCAAGCATTTTAGAAAAAAATGTTTTGGGCAAAAGTTGTGTGATTTCAAGAGGAACATGAAATAACTATGTCATTTTGTTTGGTACCATTTTCGAAATATTCACTGATCATTACTTGTCTTAAATGGAAAACCCAATTTTTTTATTATACCGTCTTTTTCTACCAATTAATTTTAACAACTTTTGTCTGAAACATTTTTTATTTGCCTAATATCTTTTGAGATATTTAACGAAACTTGATAACTTTTTCGATATTTAACTTACGGTGTCTCACTAACTATTTGTCGAAAGAAAAAGTGGTACTAAACTTTTTTGCTCTGTTTGATCTTAAGAATATATTGTTACAATAGCACCCTGACTTTTGTTAATTTCATGATTTTGAAATTTCCAAAAGTCAGTAAGTCCCCTTTGAAGTCATACAATTTTTGTTCGAAACATTTTTTTCTAAAACGTTCGATTTTCAAGATATTTCGCTGTTCCGGTATTTTTTCCTCATCCTGTTATATTATTTCTACATACGAAATATGGCTTTAGTGCGAAAGTCAACTATCATGCTCTTCAAACTTCTCTTGTTGACAACTTTTGTTAACAAACGATGAACGATGACTAAATCTTTTTGAATATAATATTTTTCAGAGGGACGACTTCTAGACAACATATATTAAGATCAAAGTTATTAAAAGTTGGACTATGTTAGCATGAAGGTTTATTGATATAATTTACCATTATATTAATCTTATCTTGTACAACATGCAAAAATTTGCCTTCTGCAGTGGTGAACTTCACTCTCGTCGCGAAAGAAATCACACCAATCTCTCCAAAATACAGCGCTGTACCGGTCACGGTTTTCATAAAAGATCAGAACGACAATTATCCTGAATTTACGAAAAACGTGTACGAGGTCTCGATTCCTGAAAACTGTGCCGATGGAACCACCGTAGCTTGGGTACAGGCCTTGGACGAAGACAGCGGTAACTTCGGAACCCATGGAATACGATATACAACTTTAGGCGGTAGCATTGCACACGCGTAAGATGATAAATTACAAACGCTATTACGACACTGGGCAACGCGATCCTCATTCTTTAATCAAGCAGTCAACGGTCTTTGAACCGTTCTTAAAAAAATATATATATCAACGAGAAGATTTCTTGTTGCCCGGTGTAACCGCAAAGAAAAGTTAATGACGATCGTATGAAATATAAACGGAAATATAAATTGAACAAATGAAACAGAAGAACGCAACAAAGAAGATGTTTAGTTAACAAGAGTATTTTTTTCACCGTAGGCTAACGATGCATCCTCTCACCGGTATAATAACAGTCAAACATTCCGGGTCCAATTTCGATCGAGAATTAGTAGCTCGGCATTATCTTACAGTCGAAGCCCGAGACGATCTCGGAAAGGGGAACCGCAATGCCGCGCAATTGATAGTCAATGTTGACGATGTCAACGACAACGCGCCTGTGTTTCTGCAGAACAGATACGAAGCGGTGCTCTTGGAGAACGAGGATCACTTCGAGTCTCCTCTGATCGTCGAGGCGTTTGACATCGATTTGAATGGTTAGCGATAGCATCGACAAAAAGCATACGCACGAATTTTCTGTTAAAAATGTCACACCCCTCCCCCCCCCCGCCCCTATACACGGGTCATATTTTATGCGCAGGGACGCGAAACAGCGAGGTGGTTTACGCTCTGCTATCGGGCGAATTCTCTCGAAATTTCACGATCGATTCGAAACGTGGCGTTATAACGCCCATGCACCCTCTCGATTACGAGGCTCTGCCCATCAAACAGGGACACAAAGAAACGGCTATACGTCCACTGAGACTAACAGTGCGAGCTAGAGATACGGGCATACCGAGCATGAGCTCCGACGTTCCTTTGATTATTTATTTGAAGGACGTCAACGACAACGCGCCCGCTTTCGAAAGAACATTGTACAAAAGGAACATTCCCGAGGACTCGGCGGGCGGCACGAGCGTTGTGCAGGTATAAAGAGTGGATAAAAAGTACCGAGACGGAGAAATATCTCGAAAATGAAGAAGCATTTTAGAAAGAAATGTTTCAGACAAAAGTTGTCCATTATTTCAAGGGGGACATAAAACAACCATATCATTTTGTTTACGGCGCCACTTTCGAGATTTATTCGCTGATCATGACGTTTCTTAAATAAAAATCCCAAGTTTTCATTGTATCGTCTTTTTCTATCGATTAATTTGAGCAACTTTTGTCTGAAATATTTTTTTATTTGCCTAATATTTTTTTGTGATATTCAAGGAAAACTCGGTAACTTTTTCAATATTTTACTTACGATACCACGTTATTTGTCAGAAGAGAAAATAATACTAGACTTTTTTACTCTATTTGGTCTCAAGAATATATTGTTACAATAGCGCCCTGACTATAATAATATATGACAAGTTAGACGTATGCCGTTGCAAAACTGTAAATCTGGAAACTGCGTGTGAAAGATCAAAAAATGGGACAAAAAAATTTATCGATGATTTTTCGAGACTAGAAAAGAGGAGAAGGATATTAAGTTCTTCTGATTTCATCCTATTTATAATTTATACTTTTGTATCGATGCATGTAGCGAAGAAAAGCTGATATCGTCGGATTAACAGTGATTAAAGAATAATCAATGATGAAACAGGTGAAAGCTTGGGACAAGGACTTGTCGTCGCCCAATAACAAATTGGTATATCGAATTCAAAGCGGGGCTGGAGACAAGTTTGTAATTAGTCCCGAAAAGGGCGTGATCCGAGTGGCTCCTGGCTCGAATTTAGACCCGGATTTGACGTCGCCGAAAACAACGATGTACAACTTAAACGTTATCGCGATCGACAGCGGCACAGAGATACAACGGACGGCCGAGGTTCTTGTGAACATCACGATCATCGATGTCAATAATAAACCGCCCATTTTCATGGAGCCTGGAACTGTCACCATCAGAGAGAACACTCAGGTAGGTGATCGATAGTATCGGATTGAGCCATAAATTCCAGTTTTTCTCTCTACCTGCAATTTTATTTTTGAAAGTGTGAGATATGTTACAACACACCGAAACTAATTCAACACACACACACACACGTTTCGTCATTGTTGAGAGTGATTAATCCAGTATTAGTCTTACTCGCTGAAATATCGATGAGCGAACGATTGACTGTTAGGTTGGTGCGTACGTTCATCGCGTAGTGGCGCAGGATCCGGATGTGGCTCCGATTCTGCGTTATCAGGTGGATCCCAACTCGTCGGAAGCGCGAAATGAGGAAGGCACGTTGATTAAGATACAAGAATACGATTATTTGGCAGCGCTGGAATTAAATGCGTTAGACGGTCTGTTACGCATAATCAAATTGTTGGACAGGGAAAGAGTGGAGATCATCAGACTGGGACTTGTGGTTGAGGATTTTGCCGCAGCAAGAGGCGTGCAAACTGCATCCGGTTAGTTTTGAAGATGTAATCTGCACAGAATGCCGAATCTCTCGGATAACTTTCAGACGTATTTCGTATCTTCACCTTGCAGAAAGGCGAAAATTCGCGGATTTTTGGATTTCATGCTTTAAAAAAATAGTTCGCTATTGAAATATATTTATTTTATTAAAAGTTTTTGTAAAATTTTTGGAGGTCATCATGTCGCTACGGAGATAATAAAGTATATTTACTACAAAATAATTATTTTTATTCAATGGTAAAGAGCAATAATGTCGCTGTGTAAACATTTGCAGCCACGCTGAGTATAATTATAGAGGACGAGAACGATAATAATCCAAAATTCCGGAAACCCTTCTACAGACGTTCCGTTACCGAGAACAGTAAAAATGGCGTCAATATCGTGAACATCGTTGCCGATGACGCTGATAAAAATCGTAGCATCACTTACTCCTTGCAAGGACCGAAGGAGATAGCCGAGCTTGTGGATTTGGATTCTGAAACTGGAGAAATGGTCGTTGCTACTAAAATTGACAGAGAATTATATTCGTGGCTTAATTTGTCCGTCAGAGCTACAGATTCCGGAATTCCACCTCGGTATGTTATAATTAAGCAACTACACAATTATTATTTTTATTAAAACATTATATCGCATAAAGGTCAGAGATGAATTTATTAATTAAATTTAAAAGCTCATATACTTTTGCGCGTTGAGATGTATGTTACCATATTTTATTTCGAAGATTGCAAAATATAACTCGCGTATGTGTGTGATAGCTAATTGATAATATTATATTTTTGCTAGAAATTATTCTGATTGTGTAAAATGTTGCAGATCCAGCTTGGTGGAAGTGTATATTCAAGTGTTAGACGAAAACGACAATAATCCGTATTTCGTTTCGAATGTCAGTAACGTGACCGTCATGGAAAACTCCAAAATCGGCACGGAGATCGCTGTTATACAGGCGAGAGATCCCGACAGCGGAGATTATGGCAAAATTACTTACCTTTTAGACAGAATGTCGTCACAGGTGTGAGAATTACGAGTGTGACGAGTAATGAAACTTGCTTCGATAATAAATTAACGAGAAATGTTCATTTGTTCACATTAAATTACTCATCATTGCGCTCGATATTTAAAACAAGTACAAAATGTTTCTGCCATACATGCGTGCAATATCTGTGATTTTGTAGTTTATTTAAAACGGACACAAAATTATGCATCGTAATCGAATACTACTTTGACCAGGGGACTTTTGCTATCCATCCAGAAACCGGGTCCCTGACAGTGGCTGACGTCCTGGACTGGGAGACCAAACACAGCTACGTTCTAGTTATAGAAGCTTGGGACAATTATCAGTTCGGTTATACAGCAGGAGAGTCCCGAAATGCATTCAAACGAATCCAGTATGTTCGCGACATAATCGATGATCCCCGATTTTCCCGATTTAATCATACAGCAATTAAACGTAGCAACCACAACATGATGACAATGCGGTGTTATGGAACGAAACGTATTGTTTTTCAGGGTAACCGTCATCGATGTGAATGACAATGCTCCAAAGATGGACATACCGCAAAATTGCGTCTCCATATCGGAGTTTCACGACATGCGCGACCTGATTTTCGTCATTAAAACGAAGGATGCGGACGACCCGACCACACCGAACGGCCGTGTCATAATTAGAATCCTTTCTGGCAATGAAGTAGGTGCGTGATCAAATCTCGATTATACATTAGCTGTTTACTGAAATTAGCGACGTGCAGTATTCGAGCGAATATTTTCCCTAATATTTGCGTATCTTCCGAATCAATCAACTCGTATATATATATATATCTTTTATACATCGGATATTATTGATTCGGGGATGACACTGACGAAAAATTGGTCAGAGTAGGTTTATTCATACTGGAGCAAACTGATTATTGGACGGCGAAGATCAAAGCCGCGCGATCGTTGAGAGGAAAATTCGGTAATTACACGCTACACGTGGAAGCGCGCGATTTAGGAACACCTTCCAAAAAGGATAATGGAATTTTGGAAATTTGTGTCACGGATTACAACGATAATCCGCCGATGTTCATCAGTCCCCAGCACAACACTACCATTCGAGTTCCAGAGGTTCGTATTTCACCTCGTGGGTCATTTCGCGCAACACTCTGTACTCTTTATGTCCTTGAAATGCCATGAAATAAAGTGTGCAATACAACGTTATTTTAGAATATAACGGTGGGAAGCCCGATCATTCAAGTCGAGGCGAGAGACGCTGATACGGGATTAAACGGCGACGTGCATTATCGTCTGAAGCAAGACCTGGCGGGTCACTGGAGAACCTTTCGCATCAACGAGAAAACTGGCGTGATATTTCTGAAATCGCCGCTCGATAGGGAGATGCAGAAATTATACGAGGTATATGAAAATAAAATCACAACTTCGTTCACAAGTTGCATGTAATTCGACCGATTATTCCGTGCTTTGATTAACTTTCTTTCGTTCCTGAAAAAGGAAGAGAAATAAAATTTACAAAATAGATTTCTCCCATAGATTCGAGTGGAAGCGTACGACTTGGGTACTCCGACGCCTCTGAGTTCCGATCTCGATCTGATCATCTACGTTCGAAATATCAACGACTTTGAGCCGCAATTTTTGCTGGACACTTTTCACATCAACTTCACGGAGGAACAACTTCCTGGATCGGAGATAATAGTGCTTCCGGAAACAATCGACAGAGACGAAGTCGATGACTTGGACGATCCTCCCACGCAAGCTTGTTACTTCATCGTGGGAGGGAACGATGATGGACTGTTCACTTTAGATATCTATAGACACGAGCTTGGCGTAAGTATTTGAAAACCAAATATCACAAGTTTTATGTGCGTAATTGAGGAAATTGTAAGTATTATTTCTTATCTCTCTCGGTTACTCGAAAACATTGCTGATATCATTCGTTACGTAGACGGCAAAAATATTGGATAGAGAGCGGCAAGAAGAACACATCTTGCTCATTAAAGCAACAGAAGATTGCGAGACCGTGCCACTCAACGAAACGACATTCGACGAGGCTGACGACACTCTGTTGCAAGTCGTGGTAAAAGTTGACGACATCAACGACAATGCGCCATGCTTCATCAACAAGATCTTTACGGGCGGAGTCACCACCGAGGCCGACTTTGGCACGCAATTTATGCACGTTAAGGTAATCGTATATCGCTTGCTGCAAACTATCAAGCGAGATTCAATCTTTATTGACTTTTTTAACATGTAAATTTGTCAGCACGTCATTTTAATAGCCATTAATATTTAATCTCAGGACGCGCGTGTCTAGGACTCTCGTTGCATGTACGTTTAACGCGTGGATTTGTATTGCAGGCGATCGATTTGGACGCCGGCGATAACGCAGTGCTCAGTTATTATCAAGTAGGTAAAATGCACATGACATTAACTGAAGGTTTCGAAAATATGCAGCTGCAGCCTTTTCTCGTAAATAAGGATACCGGGGCAGTGAGTCTGAATTTCGACCCGCAGCGAGGGATGAAGGGTTACTTTGATTTTATGGTACAATTTTATCGGAATGAACTTTTTCAGATCCTGATTAAATTTTCAAAATCGATTTTCTCGAAAGCAATATCTAGCATTCTGTACTTCTTATTACCTTTTACACAAAGAGACCGTATTGTCCATTGCATTACTTATGATATCATTTAGAATTTACAGTTTATTCTGTATAATAAATGTAATTACAAAGTAATTTATCATCTACGTATGAACAATATTCGAGAAATAATTAATACAAATAAATAGGTGCTTGTTAACGACACATACGGACTGCAAGATACCGCGAGGGTTTTCATTTATTTATTACGAGAGGACCAACGAGTTCGTTTTGTTCTTCGCCAACATCCTCCAGAAGTCAGAAGTCGGATAGAAACGTTCCGAGAGTAAGCAGAATATCTACGGCATTCTATATTATCGACGATCAGTTACGAACAGCGGATAAGATAAAAATACCGGCATATTGTCCGTGTAATATCCCCAAATAACGATTAGTATTGAACTTGTCTTTTTTACTCGAAGTATTTTATGTATATACAGAGTCCTGGGTAACGTAACCAGCGCTATTATCAACGTCGACGAATACAAGGTGCACGAGAATCAAGATGGTTCTGTGGACCGTACGAAAACGGATTTATATTTGCATCTGGTGAATCGCCGGGACAATTCGATTCTGGAAGTATCCGAGGTTCTCGAACTGGTCGACCGGAACATCGAGAAACTCGACAATCTGTTCAAGGAGTTCAACGTCCTCGACACGCAGCCGGCAAAAACTCAACCGATCGTGCAATACGAACAAGCTGGAACCACTTTCTGGCTCCTCACGTTGACTCTGTTTCTAGGAGCACTACTGATACTGTGTGTCACCCTATATCTATCCCAAAGAGCATCTTTCCGAAGACAACTGAAAGCGGCGAACGCGTCACCATTTGGTAAAAGCAAACAACATGGACGGTTTATATAGAAAGCTTCTCGATGTTTGCTCTCAATCGCCACTATCCGTTACTTGACGACAAGCAAGATAGGAAGTTAATTTAGCGAAGTACACTCCTAGGAAATCCTTCGGACGTCCCTCGAGAAACGTTCCTTTGAAAATGTCCCTCTTGCAATAGTATAATATTAAAATCGCTTAAAAAGTTTTAATATTACAATATACATGTGCTCCTAAAATCTTTTAAATTACAGAGTGGACTATTTTAATCTATCCAGCCGAACATTTTGCAAACCGAGACCGGCAGACGAAAATGTTTCAGACAAAAATTGCATGGTTTTAATGGGAATATAAGACGGTGGCAATGGTTTGACCTCGAATAGTCGTTCTAAAGATGACGTGAAGGTCATCTTCAATTTTTTAAAATGGAATCTCCTATTTTTTATTGCTTATTCTTGTATCTCTTCTTACGTCGAAACGTCTTTCCAAGAGACTATAATAAAGTATTTTTTCATTAAGAATTTTCTGAGATATTTCACATTTTCTCATGACATTTTTAACGTGAGTCCCCTTGCCTCTCACAATTCGGGGTGCTTCATCGATAGGAGTCCCATTTCCTGTTAGAAATTTACAAACACTTCTATCGAAGGAACCATTCGAAATTATTTCCATTGGCTCGACATACATAACTGCAACCTATTTTCGAAATGATTCACCGTTTTGAGCAAGACAGTTCGCGATATATACTTGCAAACTATTCGTATTCTTTCTATCATATCTTCTCTAGTTGTAGGCGCATGCTCATAGCCCCCATTTTTTATATATCCCTATAAACGGAACTTGGGTGAAATCAGATCAAGAGATCATAGAGACCATGCGACGGCTCCATGTCGTCCAATCTACGTTAATGAAATACTCCGAATCGTGAGAGTTAATGGAAAAATATTTTATTATAATGTTTTGAAAAACTTTCGATGTAAGCTAAAGAAATATGCAAAAAAAATAGGGGATCCATTTAAGAAATTGAAAAATAGCAGGTCCATTAAGAAATTAAAGGTAACCTTTACGTCACCTTCAAGCAACTATTCAAGGTCGAATAATTGCCACCGTCTTATATCCTCCTTAAAACCATACAACTTTTGTTTTTGAAATATTTTTGTTTGCCAGTCTCAGCTCTCAAAATATTCGGCTGGATGGATTAAAACGCACCATCTCTGCGTATATATATCTTCTCAAAATTCTTAATATTACAATATATGTGTTGTTAAAGGTGCGTCGGACTCGGAATTTATCCGAAGTCCTGGCCGTGTCCCGAACACGAACAAACACAGCGTGGAAGGCTCGAATCCCATATGGATGCACGCTTACGAGAACGAGTGGTTCAAGAACGACGAGTCGTTCAGCCATACGTCCGAGAGAGATTCCCTCGATGAGAACGCGCTCAATAACGAGGAAATGATGAACGAAGCCAATACAAACCAAAGAGCCGAAGATAAACCGTATTATATAGAGCCGAGAATTTCTACAATTTCCAGGTATCAGAGCTACTTATCCGGCTTCGCTGTCGGTTTCTTCCCAAACTCGCCGATTAAAACCCATATAACTCTGGCAAATCGGAAATACAATCACCGTGTATGATCATGACGATCTTATTGCCATTTAATTGTCATTTATGTGAGATGTATATTTCTATATTTGCAACAAAAGAAAATAAGGCTACTATGCTGGTTTTACTTCCGAACAAATGACGTCATCAGCTTCGACACTTTTTCACAGCTAACAGCTGACGGTGGAGGAAGGTCAGCTATTAAGTGATTATCGTCAACGATTCAGCTATTAGCTGCCAAAGAACTGTCAAACTGTTTATCATTTCCTCGTTATTTTAAAACCAACATAGTATCCCTATTAAGAAGATAAAATTCATCGAAGTTATGGGCAGGTTTTGGTCGTACTTCAACTCCAATTTGATGTTCGCAATAACGGATAGTATCATTACTTCCAACGATTATGACATTTGATGCGTAATTTTCATTTTTTTATATTGTTGCAGCGTCGAGAGCATAGATATTCAAAATGATTACAGCAGAGCTTCGCCGATTTACGCAGGACACAGCGCAATCGTCAATCCCCTAGGAAAAAAGATCGAAACAACAGAATTGTAGCGAATCGCTGGATATCTAAATGATAAACGATTAGCTAATTATAATAATAATAACATTACCAAACTATTTAGATAAAGAGCGCAGTGCGGAATTACATTGTAAATAATTACGTTGCATGATTCATTGAAACGGACACATTTTACGGGCTATTACAAAGTTACAGATGCAGTGTTCTCGCGAAGTATTTATTGTGCGTGTGTGTAGGAATGAAATTAATATAAGTGAGAAGTAATGTATATTTAATTTATATTGTAAGATATGTAAGAGATATTTCATTGTCATAACGAGAGAGAAAGTATTCCACGAGGACTTTATTTATATATTAATATTAATCAACATTGATTAAGTATCTGCACCACGACTCGTTATACAACAAACTTTTGTATACACTTCTTTGTATTTTTTATAGACAAGTAAATACTTTTTTTTAATAAATCGTGTCCTCGATTCAGCTTGATTTCTTACGCACGAGAAAGGACGTGAAATCTCGTTGGAGTGAGCGATTTGAAATTTCCGAAGTTTTTCAGGGATTAATGTGCCACTATCAGACATAGAGTAATAATAATAAATTACCGCATGTGTGATAAGGAGAAGAAAGTGTCGTGAGGAAAAATTTATGTCGAAACGTAACGACAACGTAATCACAATGGCACGATGCGGTCGCACGTACAGTCTCATACTGTTCGCACTGAATTTGCACGGCATTGTGTCACAACGATGTGCGTATATGCGACGGAAACCGAACGACTCCCGAAAACGATCGAGCTCGTGTTGTACACACGGTAACGGGTCACGGGTTGAAAAGTCAGGTAGCCGAGGAGACGGTTACCTATTCTCTTATCGTCTTCCTGAACGTCAAGTTCGCGTGCAACCTCATGCTAATCCGAGGCTGCTATATAAGCTATCGGTCAGCGGTTGACCTCACCGGGCGTCTTTAAACTCTCGGGGACTCTCTCTCTCTCTCTCTCTCTCTCTCTCTCTCTCTCTCTCTCCTTTCCTCTCTCCCTTCTCACTCGTAATGGCGTCTCTCGCCTTTTCTGTACGAATTCGCCATTACGGCGACGTAACGTTCCGTTAGTGATAGTTATCGTTTCCTGAGCATGTAATCTTCAACTTGAAAAATGTTCCGTGAGTGCAGCGCGTGTGAGGAACTCCAGACCTATTGCCCTCAAAACATTTTTTGTTTCATCATTTTAAGAAACGATAATAAAACGTTAAGAACGTTGTGGGTTGAACAATACGCAAATTGACGCTTAAACTAATGAAACGATACGCGACGAAGATCGCGACTAGTGATCAGAAATTAGGCACTGCTGATGTTTATCGCTACTCCTTGAACAATAAACACGCGAGCCCGCGCTAAGGAAGCTTTTGTATCGGGAGGGTTGCGGCCGGCTGTTGTTACTCAACTTGCCGAGACACTGAGTCATCGGAAAGCTGTATTACTCTTCGGTGTTCCATCCGGAGGCAAATTTCAGACGCGTACGAAAAAAGCTACCTTTTACCTATATTTAATTGAACGCTGCCTCGAGAAGCTGCAGAATTATTTTGCAGAACGGTTTTCTCTAGAATCTCTGGACGTATCACGCCATTTTAACGTTTTCCCGCTTTAAAACTCGCATTATTTTGCTTGAAATTGACAGGACGAGGGCACGATAATCATTTATCGATAAACGATACTTTGCTTAATGAACTTGGAAATTGTGTTAGTTGGGGGTTTATCTCTCATACATGCACAGCCAAGTACACCTACGAAGTTAACGGAGGGGATGGTCGCCGATCGTGACGTACACGTGACTCGTAGAACCGCGTCGACGTTGGGGTTGAACAGTACAACCCCTTTCACACGCGCGGCATACGCGGCCGCGTGAAGTGTGCTTCCAGACGATCCTCGAGAATGTTGTCTCTTGGATCACGGTTGATCACTCCCGCCGAGCGTTTCAGTGATTTCCCTCCGGTGCAATTCTCGAAAGGAGATAAACGCGCGATTAAGCGCAATCGAAATCTTCGTGCGCTCGTGAAAATGAACACCTAAAGGAAAAGAGCAAGGAAAAGACGCAACGTCGTTAGAAACATCGGCGCGAGGATTGACTCAATAAAGGATTGCCTCGGCAAGGAGGGGGAGACGCGAATTTGGAAATGTGTACATGATTGTCGCATTACCGGAGGATTCAACCAACGTGCAATCGATGGATATTCGTATAAATATGAACTATTTCGCGAACTCGTGATTCTCCGCGTTCAGGTAAGCGTTTTTCTCGTTGCTTTATTTATGGCGATGCTACTGAAATATTTTATATCCAGCATCGTGGATTTCAGTATTACGAATGCAAGCATGAGATGCAAAACACAAAACACAAGAATAATTTTTATTTTCTCCCGCCTTAGAGAAAATATCAAGTCATTTCAAATACTGCTTTTCTTCTCACCCAAAATGAATAAATGCTTCTGTGAATATCTTCTTTCGCGCAATGATATGGTAGAAGAATACAGCATTTACCGCTAACAACAATCTTTTTAACCCTTTAACGCCCGACTTTTTTATAAGTGTTTTAAGAATAAAATTTGAGTTTTTTTGAACTGAGACCGTAAGCAGTGATAACCGAAAAACATATCAGAATTTTATATCTACGAAAAACAACCTTTCCAAGCAGAAACTACTCCCAGAAGCGAAAAATACGCTAAATTAAATTTTTTTTTAGTTTTAATAATTTTATATCATATCTAATGGTTGGAAAAATTCCTCGAAATTCCTCGAAATATATTGGGTTAATGACTCCTCCATTCATTCGTAATGAGAAATCGACATTGCACATTCATGACGAGATGTCGATGTAATCGAGAAGACATATCGACGTTCTTCATGTGCACCGAAAGTTCGCCGCGCACAACGAACACACGTCTCGAGCATTTATTTATTATATATTTACAAAGCGATTCCACGGAAGCTCACGTGGATTTTCAATCGCACGTGCGAATATTGATCTCGCGGCGCGAGCCGCGTGAGAATGCGGAGGAGAACAAGGAGAAGCCTATCGATCGTTCGCTCGATACCTGACTGGACACTGACCGGTAAAAATATACAGCGCGCGGAGACGGGGCACTAAAGTCCATTTCATCGTTAGACAAACAAGCAAAGCGTGTTGCTGGATCTTTGTGTGAGAAGTTGATACTAAATATTCCATTGACCGTCTTACCACAGCTAAACGGTGGAATATTTATGCAATGTCAAGGTACCGGACATTGACAGAAAATGTACTCATCGTACGCAGGTAGAGACGCAGATGTATGAATGCGGAATAAATCGAGCGTTTGCACCCGGAGAAGTTCCAAGAAGAACGAGAACTTCCCTCTGAGCCTCGCATTCTTGGGCAGTCGGGAACGTGAAGTGGTGAAAAAAGATACGAAAAGGAGCAGACTGAGATCGATCGGTGACGATCGAAAAATTTGACCTGAATATCCGTTCGCTGAGTACTCGTCCAGCAGTCACGCACCAGCAATGTCCAGATACGTCACTGACGTGTCTGAAATGCTTTTACGGAATTACATCTGATTGTTCTTTCCCAATCGTTGAGTAACGAGGCGGAGAGTGCATTGAACGTTGGAAAGCGGAGGCATGTGAGAAGTCACGAGAGATTTTTTTCTCAATCTATGCTATCGGATTGCTGAAAGAAACACGCACGCGGCTATTTACAATCATCTGAGAATAATGAACTCGATACAGAAATATAGCGTTTAATATCTTCGACATTTTTGGAGCGGTTTTGGAGGGAACATCGCGTATTTTCTTCACCGAAAGAGTTCGAGAAGCGATCGCACGTTGCAGATAAGACGGCAAAATATGTATCGCCATAAAAATTTCTCCGTCTGGCGAAACGAATGTGCCGGACATAATATATTAGTCCGGCTGTAGAGATGTGGTCGATGACCTACATTTTCACCTATCCTGCAACAATCACGTGCGTGGCTATATCGGTCGTAAAGAGACATGTGTGTGCGCCTCCGCAAATGATTTTATCCACGTGAACGCGATAATACGAGGCATGCAGAATACCAGTATCGAAAGTGAGCACATAACATCACACGACATAAATAAAAATGCCTCCGGTACATCGCAGAAAATGACGAAATTTTTCGTCTCGATATCTTTTGTACTCGAGTCTTTATTTCGCATCGTAATTTTACCCCGATGTATCGTTCTGTCTTTTCCAAGAAACTACTCGCAGAATCCCAAAGTAGGTTGCATATATATGATCGTCATTTTAAAATCGCTTCCACATATTTATATTTTACAACGCACATCGAGAGAGTAGTGTTGATCATACGTCGCTTTGGAACTCTATGAACGTTGTGTTCACGACCCCGTTTCGTGATCATAAAATCGATACATACAATCGTATCTAAAGTGGCCATCTCTTCGCTGTTAATGTCGATTACGTTTGAATTATAGCGATATTGTATTATCAATTCTCGCCGTTACTCGCTTAATATTTAATGCGGCTGTCACTAATAATGCGTTCGACGCTCTCTCCGCAATTCTGAACATCTCGTGCGTCATCCTCGCAGTTCGCAGAAATACAGAAAAATCGCGCTGAACTTTTTCTAGAATGCCCCTCGCAAGAGTATGGTTTAAAGCTTGGGTTTACTGGGGTCTCGTTTGCGGTTGGGTCGAAGGTGCTCGGCCACGCTTCGACAAGTCCACGAATATGGGGTTGGTGTTGATTCCAGCGGACGCCGAAATCGGCTCCGTGATCTATCGGCTGCGCGCCACCGATGAGGATGCTGATTTTCCTCTCGTTTTTGAAGTCACCGGTAATGAAAAAGAATGGAGACATAAATATCGATCACCCAAAAGGAAGTAATATCAGAACAAGCTGAATCATTTAAATTTTAGAGGATTTTGCTCTTATATATGGCCTCAAGAGGATTCCTCTAAAATTAAGAAGAAAATATTATAAATATTGTAAACACATTATTCTTAAAGTTAGAGAAATTATATGTTATACGTATAATGCAAATCTTATTGATTTTAAGATAAATTTCCTCTTATACACAGATTATTTAATCTGTTTTTTAAGAGGATTATTATTTATTCTTACTGTACTTTATTCTTACTGATTATGCTGGTTAATTTGAACAACATTATTATAATGTATATAGCGAAATGTAATATACATATGGATGTACTTCTGGCTCCAGTTCTACAATAAGTAGGTACGAATGAAATAAGATTATCATAACAAATAAATTTCCAATGAGTTTTGCAATGGACTTTATAGCTACAAAGATGTTCATCGTAACCAATTGTATAAAACATAATTAAAAGAAAGAATATATTATTCAATTTTTTGCAATAGATTATAAACGGTATTTGACCAAATATGGGTAAATTATCCTCGTTATATGTTACAGCAACACACATACCTTTTTTAAAAAGCGTTCCAAATATTCTGACTCATGAGCATAAGGTTTTTATTTTTTCGTTCATGTCTGAAGGTAAAGCATGACTGAACAAAATAACCGGACATTCAAATCAACATATTGCTCTTCATATAAGAGGAAATTTAATTGATGTAAGAGGAAATCCTCTTGAGATAAGAGTAAAACGGTTAGAATAGTATCTAAAAAATGTTAGACGAATGATTCACTTTAATCCCTTTATCGAAAGAGGAATTCTTTTCCTGCAAAAGGTTTCGCTTAGAATATGAGATTATGGAAAAAATCAGTTCACAAACAGAATACTTTTTTTTGGGCGATAAATGTTTACTCAATACATAGATAGATTAGGTTTGATATAAAATATTAGATAAAATCGCTAAGTACAGTCCAACAATATTAAACTCAAGCGGCCTGAATGGAATGTTCATTCTGCCTGCATTTTTAACGGCGATGTCGGCTATCGTTGCGTATCGTTGCGCAACTATTACACGATATCACACATTTTCCGCCCGGGTCGACACGTAACGAAAAACGCCATTGTCGTTAGAGAGCTGCAGAAAAGGCTTACCGGGCTTAAAGAGCGCTTTCTGTGTTACGTTCAGCAACAATTACACCCGTGGTGAGGATCGACAATCTGCCGTGCACGTTGTACAACAAGGTCTGCCAGGCCAATGTAATTTTAACGAAGCGCCTTATGCCGGGACGCCTCCACGATTTCGCCGTTAGAGTTCGGGATACCAAGGGAGACTCGGATTCGAGGCAGGCCACCATTTCCGCCACGAATGCGACGACGTCGCGTGATAAAATATTCCCACACATTCCGTCGCTGATAATGGTGCCCGAGGTAATAATTGATGGTACCACTAACGATGTTAATTAGTGCACGTCGTAATTGCCGCGACGTAAAGTGTAACGCGGCACAAGTCACGCTCGCTTGGCGATTTCTAATTATCGCCAAGCGAGCCGAATTAACATAAATTAGGGGAATACTGCACACTCGCGCATATCGCGCGGGATATCAAAAGTAAATGTAATAAAAACATCTTAATAGGACACTAAGCCGGGCAAGGAACTGGATTATCTTCTCGTACGAGCCAATCCCTGGAGCGGCAAGACGGTTTACATCGAATTGTGGGTAAGTTCGACGCGGTCGTGACTCTCGCGCTCTCTCTCTCTCTCTCTCTCTCTCTCTCTCTCTCTCTCTCTCTCTCTCTCTCTCTCTCTCACGGCCGTAATCAACACGACGTGTATGAAGTGTAAGAATCTCGTTTCAGCAACCCAAGGAACTCTTCACCATTCGACAACAACAAACGCCGACGCAAACGCGCGGTGCAATTACGTTGATCGGCGAGTTGGATTTCGAGATGCAATCGATGTACACTCTCACCATTTACGCAACGGTACGCATCGTTCCTTTCAGCGATAAGTGCGACATACACACGAAAGAATAATACGCCCACAATATCGATATAAATATTTCCGGACGGCAGGATCCCTACACAGAACCCGGGAAGGACACCCGAAACATCGCGGGGCTGAACATCGTCGTTGTGGTTAAAGATGTGCAGGATGTGCCGCCGATTTTTACCTTGGCGCCTCCTTTAACCCGCCTTAACAATTCTATGCAAACTGTAAGTTAAATGTGTCCTTCTTGAAACTTCTTTAACCCACTCGAACGTACTTGTTTTCGATAAACAATCATCGCCATCAAGCTTTTCGCAACACAACATTTCAAACAAATCTTTTGCTCCATTTTTTCGACATCGTAAAAATCGCCGTGCACAACAATCTTCGCTGACATAAACAACCGCCACTTTCAAACGGCTTGAAGGAACGCCATGATTTTTTCATCAAATATGAAGGAACGCGTACCTTGCGTTAAGAAAGCAAGCGGATTCGATTTACAGTTTACCCACGATTTTAAAAAAATAAATTTCGGATACTTTTTGATCACAGTAGTATTCCTTTATATAGTTCTTTCTTGTTACGAGTTACTCAACTTCTACTTTGCGATAATTTCTCGGTGTCGTTCGTGTCACTTCCAGGGCGACATAATACTACGAGTTCACGCGGAAGATGGAGATAAGGGAGTGCCGCGTGAAATCACGTACGGTCTGGTGTCCGAGGGCAACCCCTTCATACCATTCTTCAACATCTCGGAAACGACCGGTAAGAAAATATTTTCGATCGACGTTACGTTCGCGCAGGCGTCGTTTCGCTAAAAATTAAGAAAATTGAAAAGGCGTTCGTCATCGAACCTACGCTACTTCGTTTTTGTCCTTAATTGGTCGCGCGATGTCTTAGACGCCGCGCGTTAAAAGCGCCACACTGCATTGAACGCGACTTGATAACGATGAAAGGATTCGTCTAATTCCGTGAATGCAAACCAGCGGGCTCTCATGTATAACGTGTAATTAATTTACTCGACCAGTTGAGTCATCGGTAATTCTCTAATCTATTTCACGTCACGCCCCGTTTCCACCTGACGGCTTCGATGCGCGAGAAAAAGTAACAACGACGTTGATTCATATATTCCTTTGGCACACAAAGCTGACCTCATTCCGCGAAAGGCAGCGGACAATGATTAAGCAAGGAAATTTGTTCCCGGCTGTCCTGACGATTTCGATCTTTTATTTCTTAATATAACCAGGCGATTCGTTCCATCCGCGCGTAGAGTTCGCGCGGAAAAGAATCACCCGCGTGATTGCGCCCTGTGGAATTCTTTCATTTTTTCTTTTTGACTTTTTTCCTCTTTACCTTCGTCTGTTTCAAGAGCCATAAAGAGAACCACAAAAAAAGCCACAAAAGTTAGAATCGTAAATCGAAGTAAAGTGGTATCCTAAACACTGACCCACGTGACGCGACGCGAGAGAATACAAAGCGACAAGAATGGCTCTCACCGGTGAATAAAAGGGAACTCGAGTTGAAAACGAGATATCTTGATGAGACAAACGAAATATGATCCACGGAACAGATTCCGTCGAGCCCACAGAATTGTTCGCCGAGTATAAATAACGTGTTCTCGCACGCACGCACGTTCGAGCGTTACGCACGGAATAACATCGGCCGGGACGCGCTTATCACATTCGGAACATATCGGATTTTTCACAAAAGTCGCCAGGCGCAAGACGACGAGAAGTTGCCGAGAGGTAAACAGAAGAGGCTCGAGGTGGTCGGAATAAGTCTGGACAGTCTACTACGGCCAGGTGTATCGATCGTTCTCAGGGGTCAGTCTCTGCTTTTCAAGTCGCGATGCTTATCATTTCGTGGCAAGGAGCATGCGATACGTACGGGGTCCTTGCGTGTGCTGGTTCCACCTACATCCAGCGACGTATACGTAGACGTGCCGCCGCGAACGATTTCTTGCGTCGATTCCGCCGGTACATTATGTAAAATTATTGCCGGTCAGCGTGCGTGTACGTGCGGACCGAGCGCGGCAGAGGTAACAAGAATTCGCCCATTATCCGCAATGTTTTATTCATAGAAAAAGAGAAAGAGTTCGTATATAACAGTCTGCTACAGTCGTTCTCTCCGCGAAATAATAATAACGAATCGTCTCGCACGCGAGATGTTACGCGTCGCGAAATGAAGAGCATCTTCCGGACCATGTGCCTGCATACATTAGCGTGCGAGCGTGACTAATTAGCGTTTTCGAAAGTATCGATCGAGAAAGGGAGAGACAGAGAGAGAGAGAGAGAGGCACGCACATCATAATTATTTTATTATTATAGCGGCACAATTCCCGATGAGAAAGTCGTGAGGACAGTCGCATTTTCTCGACAAACACATTCTTTGAAGCGATTTGTGCACTTAGCTGTTATCAAAGCGCAAAAAGTAATTAGTCGGGTGAGAAGAATCAGACGATCGTGACGACATTAACGTTATAAATGATTTGCGATCTCCAGGCGAGATCGTTCTTGCTCGACCTTTGGAGGAGCTCACACAAATCACCCACGTCGGCGCACCGGTCGTGCTCAGCGTGGTCGCCGAAGAAATACGAAGATCGAGAGACGAGCCGCCGGCTCAGGCGACGGTCGTCGAAGTCGGTTTCCTCCTCGGCGAACCTGGCAACAGCCCGCCGTATTTTGAGAACGATAAGTTGGTACCTAATGATTTCAATATAACGAGCGCGTAAGAGTCTCGGGTCAACGTCCTCGCGCGGATACTTGACCTCGTTTCTGTAGATGGACGACGCGGCGACTTACGGTATTTTTCCAGCCTGTTTGCCCTTTGCGAGCCCTTTACCGCTTATCGTCCCGTTAATCGAGTTCAAGTCAAAACGTAGAACGTAGAAATTCACGTCGTTTCTCGCGAGGTACAGATGACAAATATTTTTATCGTCACACATAGTTATGATATCCACTTGAATCTTTCCTTACTTTGCGTTTATTATTATTTCGCAGATACATCGCATCGATACCAGAGAATTTGGAGCCAGGTTCCGCGATCACATTTCCCGAACAATACTCGACCAGAGTACGTGACGAAGATATCGGAAAGGCTGGCGTGTTTGCGTTAAAGCTGCAAAATAACAACGGCACTTTCGAGATAAATCCAACCGTCGCTGAAAGAACGACGGATTTTATTATTACGGTTCGAGACAACACACTCATCGATTACGAGACGCATAAGAGTTTGTCATTTAAGGTATGCATTTCTAATATGAAATTATTATCGCAACGAAATACAAATCCCACTGTTGTCATCCCACGCTGTTCGCACTTTTTATGCGTATTTATATTTCTCGTGCTTCTGCCGATGCGTGCTGCAGATTATTGCTCAAGAAGTCGGCCCAGCGACAAATTTATCGGCATCAGCAACGGTAATGATATTTATACAAGATGTTAACGACAACCCGCCAGTGTTCGACGAGGAGTCTTACGAAGTTACACTGCCCGAAAATATCACCGCTGGGACGCGAGTTACCCACGTAATATCTTCAACACCTGATTATTTAACCACACAATTCAATTTCTCTCTCAATAAGCTCTCTAAGATTCTCTTTAAATTTAACTTGTATGTAATTCATAACGAATTCATTCAAGTGTGTAATGTATTAAGTTGGTACAAAAATAATTGCGGTTTTTATCATTTTAAGTTTGGTGCCGATTTTTCTAGTTACCGTTATACTAGAATTCTATCTTGGAATAAACAGACTTGTTTCCCGTGTTGGGAGAAATGTGCGCAGGCCAATTGTCTTTATTTTGATTAGTAAATATAATTTTTGACTGATATATGCGTCTTTACGCTCGATACGTAAAAAGCGCAATTATTTTTGCCTAACAGTCAATCTAATAGTTTCGTCGGCAAAGAAAATTCTTTCTTACGATTTTGTTGATAGGTGCGAGCGACTGACAAAGACACCGGGTTTTTCGGCAGTATTAAATATACGGGCATAACGGGCGGAGGAAGCGACGCTTTCGCAATGGATCCTGATACTGGTTTAATCACAGTTGCGACGGGGTCGTCCTTGGACCGTGAAATGGTAGCGCAATTTCAACTGACTGTAATTGCGCGCGACGAGGACGGCAAAGGAAACACGGGCACGGCATCTTTGATAGTGAACTTGCTCGACGTGAATGACAACGCGCCGATTTTTGAGAAGGACGTCTACGAATTCACGTTAAATTCCGATCTGACAAACTTCACAGGCGCTGCATTCATAAAGGTGTGTCTATCAGTATTAAATATACACTGCGAGTAAAAATACACGTGCAAATAATTTATTTTAAACGGTTTCACTTTGTGCGCAGGCCACCGACGCCGATGCCGAGCCGCCGAACAATGAAATTCGCTACGAATTGATTCAGGGAAATTATGAAAATAAGTTTTACCTAAGCGAGATTACCGGAGAGTTGGTTTTACGCTCGCCCATCACAAAATTCAGACGGAAGAAGCAGAGCGTTTACGATAATTTTTCGAAAAAATCGCCCAAAAGTGTCGTCCTCCGACCGGAACACAATACGAGACGAGAAAAGATACACGTAACGAGAACGACGGCGTTCCCGATGAACGCAGCAAACGCAACGCACAACGATCCAAACGAAACCGGATTAAAACGTCAAGTCGACGAGATAAAAAAGCACCGAAGAAAACGGGAAAGCGATATTTTATACACATTAACTGCCAGAGCGTATGATCTCGGTGAGTATTTAATTTATAACTGTAGCTGAAGGCGATTGGAGAATAAATTGCGGCAGGTTGAATTTAAGATGCAAATTTTTCGTTTGAATTAAAAACTGCAAATTTCATATGTGATCGAGTCGAGAGCCGGAAATGTCAATTATCTGCCCTTCGTTGACGCGCTGTTCCAGGCGTGCCGCACCTCACGGGCGAGACACGAATCTCGGTTATTCGGGGCGGCGCCATGGAAGCTCGCATAATGATGTTCGTGGTGCCAGGAGAACACCCGAATCTGACGAGAACCGCCGAGACATTAGCCACTATCACAGGTGGACGTGTGACTATATTGGACACACGTCCTTACGTGCCGGACAATCGACCCGGCGTCACCGGCAGTAGCGTACCGCCGGGAGGGAAAAGGTTAATCGCGAATTATGTCGATGCGTGTCCAGTTAACTGCACGTTTTATCCTTGAGAAAGAGGAGCGCATTATTCTTTTTCCAACGTGTTTGACCAGTCTGATTTGCACGTGAGAGCATTCGGAAAATTTAATTTAACAGAAATTTATTTAATAAAAATTTAATTTAATTTAATAGAAATTCAATGAATGAAATGAAATAAAATTAATTAAAAATTTAATTTAATAGAAATTAACTCGATAAACTCTGGCGATAAAATCTGGCTCGGTGAAAATTGAATAAAAACCATCAGATCGTCCGTTCGGGTCGAGTTCGTTTTCTTCGAGATGGGAATTCGATGGGAATGAAGGGAGACCGCTGACTGAAATCAAATTCATTGTACCCTCGATATTTTTAATTGGTAATTCAGAACAATCGTGGTGGCTCGCGTCGAACAGACCGAAGTCGGCGCACCTTTGGTGGACGTGGAGAAAATTCGCAATACATTAGCTGCGAATGGAGTTGGCATCATCGGCGGCGCAGGCACCGCCAACGTATCGATGACATACAGCTACGAGACTACTACGAAACTCCCGATCGATGGAATAATCCCCGTTGGGGGAGACAACACGGGGGGTTACGTAAACAAAACGATCAGCAGCGTTCACGAGGAAGTAGTGAGTAAAACGTTAATTGTCTGCGCTCGTTGACTTGGTCGTGCAAGTGAGTGGGATGGACGTTGCTAAGTTTGGCACTGTCGCGATACTCGTCCTGACCTAAATAAACTTCCAACGAATTACTTTTATTATTACTTTATACACTCTTCTTCAATTATCTCGGCACTTAGGATACACGTCGCGTTTCGTTAGGAAAAGGAAAAAATTTATGTCAGATAATGTTGTGTCACGAACCATATTTTTCTCTCGCTTCAGTCAGCAATCTCCCATTTTAGAGAAATGAGAGATCAGGATTCTTTTTCAGACTGTGTACAAGGCGGAGAATAAACTGCTCTTCTGGCTGCTAATTATTTTGGGTCTGCTGATGCTGCTGGCGATCGCGGCGCTTATTATCTGCTGCATCTGCCCGGGCTGTCCATTTTACATGGCGCCCAGAAAGCGCAGAGTGTACTCGTCCGAAACTCTAATCACTCGGTCTAACGGCCGGCCGAAACGACATATTCATCGCAAACCGATGGCTGCGATCGAGAGTAATTACTTTTCGTGAATTAGCCCCTTTTCCAGACGAATTCTAACAACTTCGCTTACGCATTCGCAATCGTACAGTCACAGTGCTCTGCAACTTTTACAGAGCTATTTTTACTTGTAATAAATAAATCTGCCGTTAAAGAAAAGAGCGTCTTTTGATTTGCTCACGAGAACGATAAAAATATGCAGTTACGTCGAACGGAAAGAAACAAGCTTGGAGCGCGGACCCGACCCGACGAAACTGGCAATTCAACCGTCGAAATACCAAAAACGACGGCTTGGCGTCGCTTCCCGGTGACGTTGTGTACATTTCGGAGCGCCCTCCGGTCGACCAAGCGAATATGGAGTCACTGAGAGTACGCGACGGGCCGACCTACGATCCTTCGAGGAGGAGGAGGATTGAGGACCAGGAGAGAATGTACGTGGAGGATGTCGAGGAGAGGAAGGCTAGAGAGTACGATGTCATGGACGTGGATTCTCTGCAACGGCACGAGATCGAACGAGGTTCGGATATTCTGCGTCACGCTTACAGACAAAGGTGGTTAGAATTATATTAATTCAATCCGCGTCCTTTGCGCGGTGATCTCGATAAGATCTCGATAATTCGACATTCCAACATGCGATAAAGCTCTCTCGTTAAAATCAAACTGCGTAATTAGAATATATTACAATTCAACGCGTGCTTTGCGCGGAAAACTCAATACAATCGGTGATTACTTTAACACGCGATCAAGTTCTCTCAAGTTAGAATTGAACCGCGTTAAACTGACAATGTAATATTAAGAGTCTATTCTTCAAATTAGAGATTGAAAAGTGAGCAGAATTATGTAATATCGTAAAGAAATGTTTGCGTCAATTTTCTTTTACAAAATTCTTTAAGAGTCTTTACGAGAATATAATTTTTTACAGTTGAATTGAAAATTACGATAAAAAAAAATTCAGTTTCCAATCTCACTTAGCTTTTGCTTGCTACGTCGCAACTATAAGCTATAAGCTATAAACGTGAGACGGCTTGCGGATTGTATTATATCGCCGCGATGGAATTTATAATATTTTAGTCGGAATAAAGAGTTTTAACAACACACTCGCGCACTGTTTTACGCTTGCGTTGTAGATACGCCGATCCCGAGTCGAACAACGAACCAGCGGTAAGAGAGCAACATTTCTATCGCGAGGGCAACGCGGAGGTGCTGCAGTTGGTAACGCGCGGACAAGTGGAGGACGACGTAATGAGTCAACACCCGCATTACCCGGCGACGCTGATCGTGGATGGCAAGGGTGTGCTTCTACAACGGTTCATGCAGGACCAGAAAGCGCGGCACGAAGAGTCGATGCAGGAGCCGGAGGTGATCCGCACCGTCGAGTCCCACCAACGGCCGAAGAACTTGTATCAGCATCAGCATCAGCAAGAAGTCATTCTGCTGCCGGAAGAACTGGAGCTGCGATCGTCGCATCGTCACGGGGGGGAGGAGATGGGACCCAACGTGCAGAAGATGGCGATCGATGATGCGTACGCAACGCAGAAGATGGACGCGGAGTCGCGTATTCGCGACGTGCATCGGGTGCAGGAGGTCTCGATGGGTCTGCCTGGAATGTCATCCACAGACAGACCGGTTATCCCGAAGGAGCAGCCCACGACGGTGCAGCCGTCGTATGCGTTTCACGACCTGGAACTGGCGAGGCAGAACGCCCTGTTGACGCGGCTGCTTCTGGAGAGAGAATCCAGGCACGTAGGCGGCGCGATGACGACGGACGCCGCGAGTTACCTGGAGACTCAGAGTCTACCCGGACAGGTAGCCATCGCGACACAGACCGACAGAGCTGCCGCGACGCAGCTGACGGAACGACAGGCGAGAAGCAGAAGCGACAACGACGAGTCCGACGAGGAGAGCCGAAGTCGCAAAAAGACGAAGACGAAGAAACGCTACGGCGAGAGCGAGTCTTCCAAGCGAACACGAACACTGTGGATGAAGTCGCCCATCGAGGAGGAGGAGAAGAACGAGTGCTTCGATAAGCGATTGAATATCCTGAGGAAGAAGGTCAAGGAGGTGAAGGAGGGCCGGAAAGTGTCTCTGGAGCCTGAGGTGCTACGTGAAATTTCGGATTCCCTCGACGAGAACGGGAGTTCCTACCCGGAGAAGAGAGGAAAGAGGTCGCCGAGAACTCGTGAGAAAGCCGCCGAAGAGAGCAGTGTCGGATACAAAGTACTAGGCGGCGAGAAGAACGGCTCGTCCTCGTCGACGGAGGTAAGTAAGCAACGATATGAGACAGTTTCCGACGAGAAACCGGCGGAGATCTCGTCGTCGCCGGAGATAAGCGTGGACAACGGCGAGTACATCCGCGAGACTACGGAGAAGAAAAGCTCGAGGAAGGAGTGTAAAGTGAAGAAGCAGAAGAAGGTGGAGTCCATCATAAGACCCAGTTTCCGAGTTTTAGAGAGAGAGATCACGATGCTGACGAAGAAGCTGAGCAAACTCGCCGATAAGAAGACGCAGCACACGGCGGGCGACGACGGTACAGGGCAAGAGAAGCCAAAGACGTCGAAGGACTCCAAGAGAGACTCGGATCAAAGTACGCGGAGGGCGAAAGCGGACGAGCGCAAGCGTTCGGAGGCGTCGCCGAGCACGTCGAAAGAGGTGGCGGCGGTCTCCGTGAAGACGCGGCAAAAATTCAAGTATCAGCAAGCGCAGATCATGAGCCCCGGCAGTTCCGAGTACGACGACTCGCTCGAAAAGACGAAGAAGCCGAAGGCGGCCTCGCGACAAGAAGTCGCGAAGCAGCACAAGCAGCCGAGCAGCCGCAGCCACGCTAAAATGAAGAGGCAGACGCAGGCGCAGGTCGAACGTAAGGAGCACAGGAAGAAGATCGAGCAGCGTGCTCGAGACGCCGCGAGTAAAGGGACCGGCGTGTCAGAGTCGAAGATTGAGAAGACTGCCGTTAAATTGCCGTCACGCGCGCAAAAGCTGGCAGCCATCGGGCGCAGAGAGAACGTCATGGAAGAGCCCAGCACGAGCACGAGTTCCGACCGAGTCGACAGCAAGAAAGATCCCTTCGCCGCTCGCCGAGACTTCGACAGGAAGAGCACGGAGTCCTCGGACGTCCCATCGATATCTCATCACGTAGATCGACGAGAACCGAAGCGAAAGCTGGCTCGTGTGAGCGAAAGATTCACCGATGATTTTGTGACGGAACAGCGAACGGAGGACGCCGATCCGGAAGACGCGCTCCGTTCGGTGGTGGACGCGAACCTGTACGAGGAAGATATTGCGAGAGAGGCCGAAATAACGCAACAGTTCTCCGACGATTTTACGACGGGCACGCAGGCAAAAGACGCGGGTCACGAGACGCAAGCTGACGCTGAGAGCAGAGATGAAACTGAGCGCGACGTATCTCGTGATTTCGGCGAAGAACTTGTCACTCTAAAGAAGATTGCCGAGGATGTCACGGTGCTTCGTGACTCGTCGACGGAACATGCACAATTCGAAGACGAATCAATCGAGCAGTTGGATGCCGCGACGGAGCGCCGAACTGAATTACTTGAGATTACTCCTCGCGTGGAACAGATCAAGGATGGACGCGAGGGAACTGTACCTTTGGATCTTCTCGCCCAAGAAGCGTTCGAAGAGCATCGGGCGAAGAGACCGACGTTACATTGCAGTAAATGCATCGACAGAGCGAAATTAACTGATGCGACAGAGAAGCATGATGAAGAGGCACATGAAATTTCACATGAAATCGAAGAGAAAGTGGCAAGAGAGAAGGAAGTTACGCCAGAAACGACGGATGTGCGAGAGTCAAAAGTACTGGAAGATGCGGAAAAGAGCGTGAAAGAGGAAACGGCTGCGGAAGGGAAACACACGGAAAGTCCGGAAATACTAAGCGACCCAACGAAACACACGGAGCAACTCGGAGAAGAAGAACAGGCGAAGAAAAATGGATTGGACAGCCGTACCGACGTGTTACCATCAAAAATGGACGAAGAAGAGACAAAAGATGTCAAAGACATTACAGATTCGTCACGTTCAAACGGAGAGGATAAAGCTGTAGAATCGCATGCGCATGAAGAAGAAGATTCGAGAGAAGAATCGAGGCACGAGTCGAAAGAACACAGCGAAGAGGAGACGCTTCCAACGGAGAGCACGATAGATATTTTACGAAAAGTAGCGGAGGAATTAACACCGCGAGAAATTGAAGATGTTTCCTTGCGCGAGATTAAAAGTGACGTGGAGGAGGGAACAAAGATTATTACAGCAATGAATATTGACGACCGATATCAGGATATCGCTGAAGAACCGGGAGAGATTTCGAAAGAACACATAACCTCGGAATCCGACTCGGAGAGAATGAAGGAAGATGAGACACTGACGATAGAAGTGCTCGAGGAAGTATCCGAGATTAGTAGTCGACCATCTGAGAGCGAGACCGCACATTCGAGCGATATTCACCCTGAATCCTTGATCGAGAGAAGCGAGAAAACCTCGTTAGACGTTGACGAGGACAGCCGAGAAATGTCGAGGGACAGTTTAATTCAGGCCGAGCCTGATAAAACAACAGAAACTGCGGAAGCAGATGGTGAGACAGATCGAGCAAAATACAATCTCAGTACAGAGAAAGAAATTGAAAGTCACGGAACGGTCCAAGAACCGCACGTATTTTCTCAAGGAGCATCCGACCTTCGAGAGGCGAAATTGGACGAAAGTAGCAAGACCGAGCTTTCCACATCTCCAGCGGAAGTTACTACCTCCAGGAAAGAAGTTGCGGACACAGAACAACCGCAGGCTGAGCATACAGAGGAGGTGAAAGAAGCATCATTTCGCGAGGAACACAAAGAAGAAGCAGAAGAGTCGCGAGATACAAAAGAAAGATCCGATGACAAAACGGAGGAAGCTCTTGGTAAAAGCTCCCCTAGTGACGAATTGAAGGAACGTCCAGGAGATTCGCACCTAGAGAAAGCAAGTATCGGTCAGTCAGACACTGCGGATGAGCCTGAGACAGTTGCTGAGAGTGTAGACGCCGCAGGTCCGCAGGACCAAGACCAGGGAGAGCAGCGAGCAGACGTAAGCGATCCAATTTTTAGCAGCTTTATTGATACACTCGAGGTGTCGGAGGAGAGCGACTCATCCAGTGATGTTTCTAGGAAAACAACGCTGTCCACGAGACCTTACGATACTCCACGTCATCGGCAAAAATGGCAGCAGCAAGAAAGCCTTGAAATAGCGGTAATGCCGGGAATAAAAGCCGTCGGAGATGAGACGGTCACGACGGCAGTGGAAACTGAAGCGGAGGGGGACACAGATAGTAATTTGTCGCTTGATGAAATCGAGAGTGTAGAGGATTCGACTGCGACCGAAGCACCGACCGATGAGAAAACGGTAGGTACAGGGATTGCTACCGAGAGATTCCTTCTGGCTGAGAAGATTTTCTCTGGCGAGGAGAAGATTTTGGCCGCATCCGGTGCGGAGAAAGTGCACGTTGATGGTAGACAAGAAGACAGAGGTCTTGAATCAAAACTCGCAGAGCAAATCGCAGAGCCGGAAGGAGATGTAAAAGCGAACGTGAAACAAGCGCTGACGACAATTCGAGATGAAGTTTCCTTCGTTGCACATGTTACGGAACTGAAAGACGCGTCGAAGGAAAAAGTCGAGGATGAAAGTACCCCGGCGGGGGGGACAAAAGGGGACATGGAATGCACAAGTGAGATTCCTTACCGAGAAATTGAAGAAGTTCCCGAGACTGCGAAGCCGGATGACAAAAGCGAAATTAGGTCGTCTTCAAAGCAAGCCGAACAAGCGGATTCGAAAAAAGAGCGGACGAGCACCGAGGACGCCAAAGTGGAGGAAACAAGAGTTAAAGACGTCGAGGTGGGCGAAACAAGAAGCAAGGACTACAAAAACGGCGCACCATCGGATGTTGCGAAGAAGGAAACTTCCAAAAGTCCCGTTAACAAGAAAACGAAAGTCGAGCGATCGAAGGCTGCTGCGGCCGTAGCGAAGAAGCGCGTCATCGACGAAGAATCGGAGGCAAGAGCTGCGTCGATTCCGTCGCGTCGTCGATCTCGCAGGGATATCGACGGCGACACGGACAAGACACGGAAGAAGAAAGACGACGGGTCGCGAATACAATCGCGGAAAGTAGAGGAGGAGCCCCAGAGGAAGCAGACGCTGCCAAGAACGAGAGCGAAGACGGACAAGAGAATGACGATTCCTGCGAAATCGACTGGCGAGATCGACACGAGCAAGACCCGGTCCAAGTACATGGCCTGGTACAACAAGAAACGCGAGGAAGCTGAGAAGAAGAGGCTGGAGAAGAAGGCTGCGGAGGACGAGGAGCAGCTGCCACGCTGGGTGAGCAGAGGCTTGAAGAGCCAGGCGACGAAACCGAGAGGCAGACTTGGCACGGACCACAAGACTCCGGAGATGACGCCGCGCACGAGACGCAAGATCAAGCCTCTGGTGAACGTCGAGTCCGAGCAGCTGAAGGCCATCGTGCGTCAAGGTCGCGAGTTGAGGAAAGCCGAGGGCAATCTCAAGGAGGACCCGCCGGTCCAGATATTCGCCAGGTCACCGCCGTCGGTCTCTACGTCGGACGCGCAGCAGCATCGCCTGCTGCAACACTCGGAGTACAAATACGAGAAGGCACCTCCGCCGTTTTACCTTCACCCACCTCCGGCGCCGCACCCGTCGCCGCAACTGTCGCCGGAGCGGTCCAGGTTCGAGGTGCAGCCGTCCACGTCGCAGCGCGAGGAAGAGCTGCGTACGGACGAGATGGTGCCGCTCCAGAGCGGCGTTCGTCTGCGGCATCAGCAGCTCCTCGAAAAGAAAAGCGTCTTCGACATCGCGTACAGCGAGGCCGCGCCGTCGCAACTCCGCTCGGACAGCGCGACTCCACCGTCGTAACTCTTCAGAAAGATCGATAGACTCTCCCTGTAGTAATAATACGGTATATAGGGAGAGTGCAAAGTATGGAAACCCTTAAAAATCTCGAAAGATATAAGTTTCACGGAAAAGTGTTTCAGAGCAAAGTTAAAAGGCTCAAAACGGTGTATTTACTGATCTTATTGGTTTGACCTTGAGTGACGTTGCCAAAGTCAGATCAACTTATTCTTTTCAAATAGAAACCCTCATTTTTTATTACATCATCTTTTTCTACCAATTAATTTGAACAACTTTCGTCTGAAACATTTTTTTTATTTGTCTAGTATGTTTTGAGAGATATTTCAGGAAAACTTGAACACATTTTCAATACTTAACTTACGACATCTCGCTAACTATTTGTCGGAGGAAAAAGTGGTAGACTTTTTCACCTTATCTGGTCTCAAGAATATCTTGTTACAGCGCTCTGACTTTCGTTAATTTGATCATTTTGAAACTTCCAAAAGTCGATAAGTTAACTAAAGGTAGGGCATTATTGTCACAATATACTTTTGGCACGAAATAGAGTAAAAAAGTCTAGTGTTATATTTTCTTCCGATAAATAGCGAGATATCGTAAGTTAAATATTGAAAAAGTTACCGATTTGTTTTCCTTAAATATCTCCCAAAATATTAGGCAAATGAAGAAACGTTTCAGACAACAGTTATTAAAATTAATTGATAGAAAAAGATGATATAATAAAAAATGGAGGTTTCTATTTAAAAAAAATAAGTTGACTTTGACCTGACCTTGGCAACGCCACTCGAGCCACTCAAACTGATAAAATCAGTAAATACATCGTTTTGAGCCTTGTAACTTTTGTCTGAAACACCTTTCCGTGAAACTTATATCCTTCGAGACTTTTAAGGATTTCCATACTTTTCATTCACCTTGTAGAGTATAACGATTTATTTTGCAAATGTTATACAGAATTATATACGTGTATTCCCCGATGCATCTCTTCGGTCAAAATAACAATTTTATATGTCGTATTATTATATATATATATATATACATATATATAATTTTATATATCGTGTATCTACATACATGATTAAAGTAATACCGAGTCATATATGTCCTGTACATATACTTCGTCTTCATATCGACAATTTCGCCTGGAGTATCAATTTTTTAATCGCTCCCGCTCGTAACGGAGTCGCATACGTTTAACGAACGGTACTTGCCTATTTGGTTCCGCGAGGAGAACGGTCGGTTATCGTTATCGTTTCGTGAATGTCAACGTCGTGTAGGATTAAACTCTCCTTCTTATCGTCGTAAGAGATGTATAGAACTGTTTGTAGCATAGATATACGTATGTTACTTTTACGTTACTGCCAGCGAAAAATCATACCTTTATGACTTACCTTTTTGACTTACCTTTGAATACGCGCAGCGAATTGACGACCAATTTTATATCGTGGTTGTTATTCCGACATAATGATGTTTGTATATCGGCTCTTGTAAATATATACAAGTATAAAAATGCATATGCCAGAAAAATAATATCTTCTTATTAATCGTATTTTCCGTTTACCGTTAAAATTCTATTTTTTTTTTTTTTTAATACAAGCTGAGAAGCGTACGAGTCACGTACACACAATGTACTCGTAGTTTCTGAAAAATCATTCTGCATGTGCAGTTGTTATTCCGCATGCGCAAGTTCTCTTAGAATCACGTCGCTTCATTGGAATTCATGTTGCATGCTTGTGTGCGTAACGTACGCGAGTACGCGCGGCACAATCACATCACGAAGAAGTCGCTGACGCTACAATAATTATATACATAAGAGTCAACTTCTGCCACTCCTGCTTCGCTATTACAAAAATATCCTCTCGGTGTCGACTTTACCAACTCGCTATCTTCTACCAACCAATTTATCTGCGCTCGATGAGCTTTCGTCCGTGACAAACGCTTGACGCGATTATTATCGAAATAACATCATAGTCGGTATGAACGTTCTTATCCAACTGTACAATATCGTGAGATATTGTACCAAATATTATCGTTAAACAGCAGTACGAGCATTCCAAATGATAAAAAAATCATTCTGCCGTTAAAATCGCTTCGATGTGCCGGACAAAGGAATGAGAGACTTACGTCGAGAAGTGAGTGCAGCAGCTGAGGATAATGTCACTTTCAAGTGTAAAACTACTTCATATATCACATGATACTAATACTATCGTATGTATATAATATATTGCATTAAATTGTTAGAAGATGCTGAGAAGAGATTTCGAAAGCCGAGGTAAAGAGCAAATCCAATTCGCATCGAAGAGTGCAATCTTAAATTCGCCAAGAGTCTTCCCGCGAGCGTCCTGCGTCAATTGCTTATCGTGTTGTCAATTAGACATCGCCCGTGCCGAAAATTCGGCAAAACGGAAGAAACGGACGAGCGGAAGAAAAGAGAAAAGATGAAGTTATCTGTACTCGACGATACGGCAGGCGCGTCTCGAGCGTTCTCCATCGCATGCGTGCGGAGATCGATAGTCGAGCCGTGTGACGTACGCGTCGCCGCGCAACGCACAAACGATTACGTGCGCCTCGGCTTTGACGTGTCGGCGACGTGACTGACGACACGGGTGACGTTACCGATGCAACTAACCTACCGTAATCGAAAACATAATGGTGCATCAAACATAACCGGAGACTGGTAAATCTTTATAACGGGAGAGCACGTTGGACGAGCTGGTCGCGGCGCAACCGAGAGCAACCCCGGGAGCCGCGGCTCGCGCGTACGCGCCTTCGAGATCGCCGATCGAGATGGCCGACTTCGAGCACGTATGCTCGCCTGTTAACTGCGAAGCTTATCAGTCGGCCGTTTGCGACACACCGTCGGCCTGCGACGAATTGACAACTGGACGTTTACGTTTAAGTGCGCAGGGTCAGGTTGAGGAGAGTCCCCGCCTGCCAGCGCGGTGAGTGCCGCGGTGGACGGCCTAACGAAGAGTAGAAAGCCTTTCTTCAATCGAAGCCATTAAACCGCCGCCGAGCGGCCACCCACGGAAATGTTGATCGCGCCAGTGAAACCTGGTCTGTGAAGAGCTTCTCCTGTAACTCGCGTTTGCTTCTCATTGCAAAATAAAATGAATAAACGTTAATGTCGCATGGCAATTGGCAATTCGCGTAGGACGCAAAGCGTACGAGCTAGAGAGCACGGCGAAAAAAGGAAATGTCAGAACACGGCATGGATTATACAGTTGCGTATCTTTTGCAACAAATATTTATTCCAGTTCTGTCCATCTGGCTAGCGCGCGACGTGATGGCGCGAGCTGCGAGAACGCGTCTCGTCGACACGGGAAATTCATACGTCTAGTATCGACGTTGACTCACACAATCGCGATAAATCTTGCAAATCTGCCAATCGAGAGACGACGAGATTCCTTCGGTGTGTCGATGCCGGGGCTTGGTTGAAACAGGACGCCTGGCGTTATAATCAGCGACGCGCGGCGAAACGAGCGGTGACCGCGACGGTCGATGAGAGATATCCTCCTATGAACAATGGCCAAATGTTAATTGTTGTTAATAAAGAGTCATGTATGTTGCTGTTGCAACGGCGAGCAGAGCCGCGGAAGAGGCTGCACCTGTACCAGCCGTGCGCGAAGCGCAAACACACCTGAAACCTTTGACCTTTTCATCGACGCACGCCCCTACCGCCGCCGACCATCGATCTCTCCCTTTCCCGTCCACCCCTTCGAACCCTTCGTCAACCGCGCGATCCGCCGTCGCTGGGCCATCGCCCAGCTGCATCGCGAATCGTAGCTGCGCTGCGACGACGCCGCGACCGCGGATGCGTTCGATTCAGCGAAAGAGAATATGTCGCCATTTGCGGCGCAATGTTTATGCGAATACGCGAATACGCAAAGGAGCACGCATCGCACTCTCTCCCACTCGGAGAGTATCGGAAATGACCCTGCGTTAGGATAGGATAGGATAGGTAGGAAAAACAATGAAACATTGAAACAATCACGCCATTTGTGACAAAATGTGTGATAACGGTTCACACGCAACGTTTCGTACAGCGCGTGATTTTGCGACAGTCACTTTTCACAGTTTCGCAAATTACTTGCGAATTATAAATTTGCAACTGCCGCGTCTGCACGCGTTCTCCCACGGGCGCAAGCGGAGCTGGTCCATCCCTGGCGTTCCTACAGGGCGCCGCACTGCTCTTGCTTTAATTGTGAGCGCGAATATAGCGCGCTCACGTTATCTGCCTATCTCTCGCGGCGGCGGGCGAGAGGTCCGTTGCGCGTGCGAGCGGAACGGGTTTGGCCCGGTCCTTAATAGCCATCAATCATCGCCAAAATTCGGCAACGTGTCGGACAACACGAGCGGCAGGATACCATCACCAACGTAGAGTTCTCCGGGACCACTAGGCTAGGGGAGCACGGGGCCGAGGGAAAGGACCGAGTGAGACGTGGAACCCGTTCGATACTTCCGAAAACTCGGCCCAACCACTCTACGCTCCAGTTGCATTCACACGAGTTCACTCGTGTGAACCACTAAGCTACAAAGCCGAAGCCGTGAAGATCAAGAACCGCAACCTGCGCGAACTTGAACGAATCGGGCAATCGAGCAGAACCGGACACTGCAGAATCCAGGAAGCTTCGAAGCCTTGAAAACGCGATGAAGAAAATGACACTAACAAATCACGTCCGCCTGCAGATCGAGCGCGGTTTCATACAAGCGGCGGAGATGAGAGAAAGGATCGCCTCGCGACCAGAAGAGAAGAGAGTTCTCTTTCGTCTGGCGAGAGCGAAATGAATCTGGCTGACCAATGCGCCTGGACAGAATCACCGTGGCCGGAACTGACGGTTCCCCAGCCGGAAATTGTCTATTGTCTGGCCGGGGGGAAGACAACTGGGGTCGATTGTGGAACCAGCGGCAGAGACTTTAGGAAGAGGTAGCGGGAATCAATCAATGAGCAGGCTGAGGTTCTTTTACGAGGTATATCGAGAGAGAACTTGATCAAGAGTATAAAGTTGTTAGCCGAGAGAGAGAGAGAGAGAGAGACGACAGGTACGTTACGCTGAAGCGAAGGGAAACGCGCGACAAAGTCAGTCTGAATGTTGCGGAGGATCGTTGGACCATCGATGGACAATCTCCTCTATGAGATTCCAATTTCAGTTTCGATCACGCAAGGTTAGACTTGACGAACGAATAAATTTTGCTCTTGGAATATAATACGAATCTCTGGACTGGGTCAATCCTTGATCCAGTCAAGTGAATCGACATTACTTCATCCCTCCCTCCGGATAACTTTTAAGCAAACTGAGAGAGGCACATATTTTTGTAAAATCCAACTTAAATCTCTTCCCCGCGCGCACAAGATTACTTTCTTCTCTGTTACTTCATCAATCGTCTGACACAACTTCTGTCACACGTTGTCACACGTGTCGAAGGGGATTAGGTGAGTTCGACGAGTCCGGTGTTTTCCGTCCACTCGTCGAGCCACCGTAAGGAATCGAAAGATACACAGAAGCGTAACAAGTACTCGCGGCTACTTGAGCGATAGATTTCAATTAGATCAGCGCCGAGCTTTTGGTCCGACGCAACGGCCGATACAGTTAACACGATACTGCCGGCAAGCGGAAGCGCCGAGCGTCCGAGGATCAAGCAGGGAGCAGCAGGAGGAAACCGACGCGACGTTGTTTCCGGTAGTGCTCCCGGGAGTGCGTAATTAGATATCAAGTTTTACGCTCGCTCACGGCGAACCTATATTTGACTTCAAAGTCCCGCGAACTTCGCGCCGGCTGTCCAGGCCGTGGCAAAGGTTCACGCAGCACTTAATTAGAGAGTATATCCGATGCGCGCTGCAAATGCTATTTACATTTCAAACGAACCGGTCTAATGACACGTTGGTGACACTTATTTGCTTGCATAAATCATGCGTGGCCCGAGCAGCGAGTGCGCGGAACTTGCCTGGCGAGGGAAACCCATGTCTCACGTGCCCGAAACTTCAGAGTGCAACTTGCCCTCGAGTATAAGGTTGTTCGTACGCGAAAATTCCCCTCCCCCCTCCCTTTCTCACTCTCTATGCGTATACAAAGCAGTGTATCCGGGAGCGAGTGAGTAGACGGTGGGTGCGGTGGGCTGCCGCTTTCGATAATTTACATTGGTTTGGCAGCTAAGTAATTGCGGATTTTTTTAAGAAAATAAGAGACAATTTTTTTCATAGAACGAAATAATTTCACGCAGTAATGTATCGTCCGTTTTTCATCAATGACCTCTTGCCGTCTTTCAGGCAGCATTATGATTCCACGTTCATAAAACTTTTAGTTTTCACCGGCAAGAAACTTAGTTGCCAATCCAATAACTCGCAACGGAATTCGAGTCGCGAATTGAGTTGATCTGTTTGCAATTTCACGCGCCCCTTAATTCGTTTACATAATGCGTGCGACTGTGATACAGTAGTCGCAACGTCGATTCTTCAAGTACCCTTTTGACGAGCAGAATCTTCTCTTTGGAATTTCTCTGTCACGAACCTTAACTCGTCTTAAGTGGCATCGAAAGAGACTACGAATAATCGATCATGTCGCGTTTGATTTGTGGCGATAAAAATGCCCTCTAAGAAATCTCTCGAGAATCTTTTTCGTTAACCTCTTCTTGTGTGACGGGGCACTTTTTATTTCGCCCAAGGCCTTTCATTCTGTAGAACTCAATCTTTCTATTTGACAATCACACAAATCACGGGCGCATTCGTCGTCTATACCGTGTTGTTCCTCGCTGACGCGACGGAGCGACGTTTGCGACATTGCATCGCGTGATCTTGGCCGGACCACGTGTACACGCATGTATGTAACTCTCGGGTCGCCTGTCGTAACGTACGTAATTGTTCGTTGTACATGTATCCGGGGAATATGCGAAACAAGAGCCGAATTATCCTTCGTGTACTCGCACGTAACCATCGTCGTGTGTCTTTCTTGCGCGAGCGGACTGCGACCTTCGTGCGGACGGTCTTCGTGCGACGGTTACGCTCTGATTTTTCAGGTATGACCACCTGCCAGGCATGACTCGGGAGAGCAGGGATGACGAAGCACGCGAGAGGAAGCACGTGTTGCCCATCGAGAATTACATTCCGTTTTTGATAACAGCGCTCCAGTACGCTCGAATATGGCCCGCGCCATTCTCAGTGTACAAGATAGCGCTTTTGACAGGATTATTAGTTATTCTTTTTGTAATAATACTTGCCAACCTACTGGCGGAAATCGTACTAATTATAATGGGCACGAATGTAGATGATCTGACTGATATAATTGGAGTGATCACTGCGCACATCCAGGGCTTACTGAAATGGTGGTATTTCCTAACGAACAAGAAAGAACTCTTCGACATCATGATGAAATTGAATAAATGTCATGTGTTTTGCCAACGTATCGACAAGGAAGGCACGTGAAGTTCACTCACTGTTCTGCCGCCGTGACTCATTCACATATTCATACGTGTGATTCTAGATTTATTAACATTACATTAACATTAACATTAACGACAAAATAAACAATCAACATTTGTGGAATCCCTTTGAATCCCGAACAGATACGAATACTTTTTACATTCACTATATGTAGCAAAAACTACAAGAGTATAAACTATAATATAAATATAATAAATATAACTAGTATAAATACCATAAGTGTAAAATGTCCTTATTTTACATTAGTCATTAATATTTATTTCTTTATGCTCCCCAAGACGACTGAAACGATAATTTTTTTAGGACATGAAATTTATAAGAGTGAAATTGAATGCGCACGGCAGCACACCAATCTCTTCTTTTGCTGGTGGTTATCCTGTATTTTTTTCGCTGTTACTCAGTGGTGTGCCGCTCCGTTCTTATCAGGAACTTACAAGAGTTACTTGATTAATGGTACATTTACGGACAGGGAGTTGCCTTACATGGGATGGTTTCCGCTAAACACTCGTGATATTTACGCTTATATTTTTTTGCTTATGCTGCAAATAATCGGAATGTTGTCTTGTACGTTCGGAATTATTTTTTTCGACTCTTTGTACATTTCAATATTGATTATCATCCGTGTGCAATTTCGATACATCAATATGACACTAGTAGCCACGAGCAATCTCGCCGAGGAGCAACGGTAACGTTATCACATCATTATCGTTCGCACGTTTGTTCATTCTTATGTGCGATCTGTCTCTGTGAGGTAAATTATTTTTGTATTAAATAAACACTAAACGTTGAACTTGCAGAGCGCCAGATGCACTAATCAGCTTCAAGACAAAATTAAAAAATTGTGTGGATTGCCATGTAGAAATTATAAAGTAATGTTCCTATTTTCAATAATTACGATTGATAATACCAAGAGATCTTCGATGTAACATAATGTACTATTAATTTACGCGGTGATCTACGACTGTATTGAAATTCTGAAATATTACGGCTTTTACGGCTAGCGATATGTAATTCTAGATTTTTAAAGATGTTACAAGCTTTCGCCAGTCCAATGATGTTCGCGCAATGCATCGAATGCGTACTTGAACTTTGCTTCACCTCGTTCCAAGCATCAGCAATCGAACTTACGGTACAAATTAAGCATTTGACTGCATTATCGCACGTTCTAAAGTGTTAAATATTAAACTATAAAATCCGCATCCCAACAGATGGACAAAAAGAATATGATCGCATTGTTTAAACTGTGTGGATATTTCTCAACCGCCGCTGTTCAATTGTACTTCTTTTGTTTCTTCGCCACTCAAATTGAATCCCTGGTTAGTCGTGTACATGAATACATTGGAAACATTTATCTTTTTACGATAAACTTCTAAGAATTTTCTAATTGGACAATAGGGTGTAGGATTTCTAAGATCTCGAAGATGCTATTATATTGACTTGTTATGCTATTTCAGGCGTCACAAATTCCGCATTCAGTGTATTCGTGCGGATGGGAGATGATGATTTTCAAACAGCGGAAGGAGCCGAGTACTAAGAAACAATTTAACAATGATATTAATCAGTTAGTAAACATGATAACGATACAAGCGCAGAGACCTATAGTCTTGACCGGCGGTCCGTTCTACGTACTTTCGATGGAAACTTTTAGAGCCGTGAGTAACTGAAAATTTATCCATATTATCAGTATCATGTATCTTTATAATATCGCAAAAGATGTAACAATTTATCATAATTGCAAGTTTTGTTCTTGAATATGCGTAAACTTATATTACAGATGATGAGTTTGGCACTATCAAACTCCATAATGTTACGTCAACTCTCTGATCGGGATAAATAAGTAAATGTCAGTAGCTGCTTATCACTGTCCGCGATTGATTGTTGCGTTTTTAATACATTTATAATTACTTGAAAAATTTATTATTTACAATTATTTATAACAAAATTGTTACATGTTTATTAATGTAATATTGAAATTAATATTCAAATTATGTATGTGATAGTCGATTGAGGATAATACATACCACAAATTACGATAAGGAAAAATTTTTGTATATGCAAAAATATGTAAAAAATATGGTAACTTTCGCAAAAGAATTTCTTTTTCTAATAAATCTTGATAACAGATCTGTACGACTGAACGTTACTATTCTCAGCAGCTGTCGTATCAAACTGTTGAATCCGCCGGTTGTTAACAGAAATCTGTTGAGCTACTTTCGTTCATACTTACCTGGTAAGACGCCAACCGGCAGATAATTCGTGCAGTTCAAGCACAAGCAAGTACAGCGATATACTGATTATATTAATCTCACTCTGTAAATTGTGCCGACTACCGATTGTTTTGAATTATCGCGATAAAAAATGCGAGCGCGTTGAATCGAGTTTAAATTATTATTTAGTTGAGATCATAATCACATTCATTTATTTCCCACACTTGTTCTAAATCTTTGGCATGTGTTTTCGTACAATCGCGGTAACGATAAAGCTACAACAGCCCGCTCGCAAACACACTCGATAAAATCGAATAAATTAAGTCGAGCGATTCCTTTTTTCTTCTTAGACATTAAATGCAATCGGTATCACTTAGTTTCATCGATAACCAATTGCTCCCATGTTACAAGAGGGAAATAGATTTTTCATTCATTATACTTGCACAGCAGCGGCGTTGTAACAACCGTTATATCTCGCCGGATATTCTACTCAGATAAGAAATATTTATTCAAATGTCGGAACTTTTTTTCTGATATCAAGTCGATAGCGCTCATATTAGTAGACCTCCGTATCACACGCGAGCAATACCACCGGTTCTCCCCCTACCACACCTCGCCCCAATAATGAAACGTGGAGTGAGGAGAAGACGGTGGGGCGAGTACAGCCGGCGGAGTGGGGACAAAGAGAGAGGATGCCATCCACCTACAACCGTATAAGGAGCCCGCGCTTCTATCAGAAGAGCATGAGATGACGAAAGTCGCGGGATACTAGCTCCTACGCATGTTATCTTATCACGGCGCTACATGCCACTTCTGAGGAATATTGATTCACAAGTGGACTCGCCGCAACGCGGTCTACCTCTTGCAGCGGCATGCGAGCCTGGCAGCCGAAAGTTGAGATTAGAATGCATGTTGGTCACCCCTTCTGGAATTCGGTCGTTCCACAGCGACGACGAAGATGGGGACTCGAACGACGTCGGTGCTTACCCGGCTCGTCAAGCCCCACCATCCAAAGGTGGTGTTTACCTAGACGCGAACGGATACGGTAACGCGAGAACTCAGACGCTAAACTGTGAGCCACTACCGTCACTGGTTTTGGAGGGCCACTATGATATTATTCACGCTGAGACTTGATCCCACGTTACGATGATGGTGTCCATTGGATCTTGACGAGGCCATGCGACGAAAGGATACACCCGTTTGTCTTACCACCACGATTGGCAAGATAATTACTCTTTTCTCACTTTGTTATATTTAACCTATTTCACCTCTCACTCGCGTGGTGATGTCTCATCTTTTTATATCGCAGCACTCAAGTGACACCTGAGAATCGGAAATGCGAGGAGACAAAGGAACAAATGAGACGAGATGTGACCTTCGTTTGTCGTTAAACACGCGAGAGACGCGAGGTCGCCTTGCGCTCGAGCTGCGCGCGCCTCGCACAGCCGCAGGAATTCGCGTAGCATCGCGTTGTCATACGTACAACAATGTATCCGCGACTAGATTCGCGGGCTAGGTTTTTCACGATTCTTGGCCCGCCATGATCGCCTGGTCGCGGATCCGCGGCTCGCGAAGTCCTTGCGGCGACATTATGTGTTGTCTCGTGTGGCTCGCCGGTCGGCGGCGTCGTCATTAGCCGTCAAAGGTGCTATCGAAAAAGGCGAGGGCTGGTCTTTCGTCGCGCGATTACGTCTCGATGCACATGTACGTATCGTTAACACTCGCCAAGACTCCTCACCTGCCCATCAAAAGACGTAAAGTCATCCACATTGGCCAACCGCGGAGCCGGGGAACATGCGACCGAGGAGATGACGCGAGCCGCGCGCCAGCACGCCGCCGGCGACCGCCGCACACCAGCCGCGCTCGCATGTTCTCTTCGTCGTTACTTGGCGAAATGTGGACGCCTTTCGGGACCTGTTTTTCTTGGCACCCTGAAGTGTACCCCGGGCGCGACTGATCGTCCATAAGGGCGTATCGCGACCGAGGAGAACGCGCGGGACCTTGACGAAGTTCACCGGCGGTTGTTGAACTGCTCCTTGCTCCGGATTTACCCGCAGCTCTCTTGCCCGTAGGTAAAGCCGATACCTGTTGACGGACTTTTCTCCCGCCAATGCGTCACCTTCTCAACTGAAGCTAACGGAATGATAACATACGACGATGAAACCCTCCAAGTACTTTTTGCGCAGGCGGCCTTCGCGATAACCTTGTCAAGACCTTGTCATCTTGTGAGTTTTTGGGAAACTGCGAAAAATAACAACGCGCCAATCGTTATTCGCCATATTTCACACTTCAATGGTCTTTTATTGCAGTTGTAAAACACGGTGGTGGACTGGACTGTCAAAATATTCAAATGCTTAGAAAATGGAAACTGCCACGCAATGAAAAACGCGATTATTTAATCCTCATCGTCGCTAATTATTACATGAGACGATTTCGGCCGTTCAGATCGTACATTGGATGCTGACTCTTCGTCGTCGCTGATTACTATGCGAGCACCGTTTCTCACGATATTTTCATCCTTCAGTGATTCCGCCTCTTCTTCATCGCTGTCGAATAATCGACGCTTCTTCTTCAACGGCTTATCCGTATCGGAAGAATCGGATATACTTCTTTTTGTCTCTGCATCTACAAAATATGCGGGAAACCTCTATTTTCTGACGCGGCTCACAAAGTATCGACCAATTCTTAGCTCTTATCAACATATGTTACTGACCGTATTTATCATCGATGTTCTTTTCAATCTCCATCTCGGATTCCGAGGAATCATCGAGTATAATCGCACGACCTCTCGCCTTGTTGTCCGTGTTCTCTAAAATTTTGAAGTATTACGTAATCGGTATTGATAAAATTTTTAATTACTTTGTTCCCGTGGAACATCAGTTTGCTCGTCGGTAAATGCACGATAAAGGGAAAGCGGTGTGCTGGCTTGTGCGTTCGAGTAACAGAGGGCGAGAAAGGTGTGCAATCCTTTTCTTCCGAGGAAAAGAAGCGTATCGGCTGATGACGACGCACGTACCTGCACTGATTTTTTCCGTAACTACCGCATCGCTCTTTTCGTCTGTCATCGGAGACTTTGTGGATTTTCCAGGTAATTGCGTTTCAACGATCGGTCTTGATTGCCCGGAGGTCGACGGTACAGGTTCTGAAAACGACTTGAATTTCTATAGATACCGCTATATACACGTCCAAGGAATTACACAAGACATCACAAAAACATGCTGCGCGACATTTAATTAAGAAGCAAAACAAGAAAATCTTTCTCTCTAAAGAACAAAAATCTTTTCTTCTAAAAGCAAATGCTTGCAAGCGCAAACTCAAACTTCTCAACGTCTCGACGTCAGGTCGCCGCGCGCACGTCTGAAATTCTTCACGGGCGACTCGAAAAAAGAATTCCACGCGATGAAAATTCTTCTCCCAATGATGTTATCGAGTTACCGAGAGGGAAACATAGCTGACCTTTGGGCGCGAAGAACTTCTTAACATTCTCGAACACGTCGATATCGTCCTCGCTGTCGTCCAACTTTTCCTCGCTGTCGGAATGATCTCTGCCGCGCGCTTCCACTGAAGTCTCTACAAAAGGCGCACTGATAAGTGATCGCCATTCAGGCGATCCCGCGCGCCACCGTTATCGCGCGCAACAATTTCGGAATCACTTACCCGCGACGACAAATTCACCGGCCAGAACGTCCTCGATGAGTTTGCTACGTTTTTGAATCGTGCTCGTAAGCATATTCGCTGGGACGCGCCAATAAGATTCTTGGGCATCAGCCGGTGGTACAAATCCCATGGCGCGAAGGAGCTTTTGAAAACTCGGCGAATCCATCGCGGCCGACGAATAATCTGTCAGCGGCACCAAGGGTATGCCTTCGAAGCTCTCCTCGTCACGATCGTCCAGGATATCTTGCAAGGATTCCTTGATCCATTCCAACGCCTCCTTCATGTCTGATTTATCGCGAGATTTTTTGTTTTCAACGTGATTTCTCATACTAATTTATATCGCCAAAACCGTCTAACGGCGAGCCACCCTCGCGATCGCACGCACGTTATTTTTCATTCCTTCGGACGCGCGTATCGTTGGCTACGACCCGCACCTATCATCAGCCCTCTAGCGTGGCTTCGATATTATTTGCGAGATCGGATATTTCGCGGCGCAGTTTTATCGTCCGTTCGGCGGGACGGACGTGCTCCGCAACTCTGTCGGGCGTCGTAAATATCGTGGATTACGATGTTCGTTATTCGCGAGTTGCGTGAAAGATCGCGATGTATACGCTGGCTCCCGCGCGCGCGGCTCGATTAAATCGACAAATCTCGCGAGAAGCAATCAGCTCCGCGCGTTTTAGAATCGCGGCATATTTCTCGCGGTGACTTGAGAAACCGCTCCTCCGACAAGTCGTTACTTCCTTTTATCTTGTTTTATTTTTTCCCTTTTTTCTTTTTCACGTAACGGCTCCTGCAAATCATCGCCATTCATCCCTTTCTCCGGCGAGGGGAACATTTATCCTTACGTGGGACGTAGACGAGGGATAACGTTGCACGCGCCGCGCGCGCTTCAGCGACGAGTGCGCATTCATTAATCATAAGGGGGCGGATGCACGTCGGAGAGGAGCCGACAGAGAACGAGAGAAAGAAAGAGAGAGAGAGAGAGAGAGAGAGAGAGAGAACAGCGATACTTACCCTTGTCGATGACGTCCTTCAAGAGACCGAATAATTGTGCATCCGTGTAAACGATCGTCGGTAGCTTCCTCCTGTTTCGCTGCTTCTTTTTCGCCGGTTTGCTCGGTCGAGACGCGCCGCCGTCGCGCTTCGAGGATTTTCGAGTTTCTTCTCCGTCTTCGTCGGTGGCTGAACTTTCGTTCCCGTCAGAATTACTGGCAGCTTGCGTTTCCCACGACGATTTACCTTTGCGCACAATGCATGGAAACGATGTGAACCTTTCTCGAGCGGGCGTTCATCAGCGTGTGTAAAGCACGTTACGTAGTGTAGCGTCGCGTTACACCTTCGTATGTGCGTATATTCGTCCGCGTGTGTATACACGCGGAGCATTTCACGTAACATTAAATCTCAAACGCGCACGATATGCACGTGTGTGTATCGTAGCTCGTGCCAAATCTATAATACATCGAACGATGAATTTAAATCTTGTCTCTGGATCTCTCACGTCGAAGTACGCGCGTCTGAATTACAGTCTCTCGCTAGATTCAAATCGATCCGATCTTGTGTTTATCGTATGCTTTTTTTTTTTTCACACACACGCCATGTAACGAAATATTGAGAGAGAAAATAAGTATTTTTATTAGAAATGTGTTCGTCGACAGTATTTTGTTAGTGCAAGCGGAAACTGCTTCTATTAGCTCGCTTCTATTAGATCGCGGTGCCGTTTTTTCTCAAACTTTTGCGGCGTTAGATACGATGAAAAACTATACACTACGGATCTTAATGACGGGATATCTGACGAGTTAATTTTTATACGCGTCATTTGTTGTGAAAGACAACTGCTTTTTTTTTCTCGGTTAGTCCCATATGGCAGGCGAAATTGCATCAAAACATGGCGTTGAGGGAAAATGTTATTCCAAAGACACATAAGGCGAGTTTCTCGGTAATGCTTCATCTCACAGTTGTATATCTACGATATGAGGTATCTCAATGCATTGAATACAAATAAAGCATGAGAGAGGAAAACAATATCCACATGATAAATATGATATTACTCCCGGCACCATAACAGTGAAGCTAAGGCGAATGATCCGAGAGCGGAGAAAGTGCGAGAAACTGGAATTCGGCACTTGCCATTATTGAATTATGAAATTCCATCACGATGGTATTAATGAACACTAAACGACACAACTGAACGAAACATGGAAAACACTATTTTGAGCATTCTTGGACAATGTGAATTTGTTCGAAACAATTTTAGATTTTTATTTTAAATTATAGCTTTTATTCGATTTTTTAAATTATTTTGATTATAGCTTTTTTAGATTTCTGCTTTTCCACTTTTCTACTGTTTTGTAGAATAATGTCTATTTTATAATTTTTTGTTACCTTATCTCTCTCTCTCTCTGTCTCATTGTGCGAGAATTACTTGCTAATATAAATGCGACAAAAAAACGTCTTAAAAACGGTTCCGAAGAATGCATTTACACACACATATTCTCATTCGAATATGTTAAAAACCATGTAAAGCATGATGCTACTGTTGTTTGTTGCTCATACCACAAACAGGTATGACCAGATATTTCCAAAAAAATAATCGTGTGCAACCGCGTAAAAGATAACAATACACATATCGCGGATGTGTATGTTCGACAGTTCGATACAGTCAAACCACTGGAATAGCATTCCCGATTCATAGCGCATTCCAGTTCTATATAATTTCCACCGCATAAATTATTGCATAACCTGCGCGCAAACAGAGATTTAATATGAAAATACACAAACACGTGCACCACGATTGTCAAAATTGTGCGACACTTCGGATGTACGTATGGAGGATACCTGATTCCGCTAAATCACATCTTAAGCGCGTGTATAGTCGAGACATTTACTTTTCACGTCGATATATCGAAAGATACAACGATCCCTCGTGCTTTTAAACGCTTCGCTCTCTACCGCGTGCGCGTTTCAACGTGTCAAGGTATCACCTTTGCAACGTCGCAGAGAGAGAGAGAGAGAGAGGGAAGGAGGAGAAGAGAGGCCAAAAAGAATCAAAGAGAAGAATAATTCGCATATAGAAATAAAAATTCTCACAGAGACGCACTCGCTCTTCACCTTCGGGGAATAGCCGGGGAAAACAGAAATGATCTCATAAACGTACAAGCAGACTTGTCTCCGTTGGTAATATCGGCGAGAGGCTCGTTTTCTTTCCTTCCTCTCACTCCCCTTTTTTTCTTTCGGTTCGTAAGAAATCGGAACGGGAGGAGAGCGAGAAGAATCCTGTACAAATTGATCTTTGCTCCTTCTCGCTTCCTCTCTCTTGTTCTCTACCTCACGTCGTTCCGCTCCCCTCGTTGAAAGCGAGTCGCTCTATGCAGTCGCCGGCAATCGCGTTACTAGAAGACTGATCGAATGGGAATAGTCGCGGAATCGGAGGATAGTAAGAAAGACAGATGCGAATGGAATGGAATGGGATTGGCCGGAACAAGGGGTGCTTCAGACCGGATCGTGATGAGGGAGGAACGAATGGTACACTCACCCTGGCTGCTTCTTCTAGCTCGCTTTTTGCGCAGTTCCTTGCGATCCAGCGCGAGTCCTAATTCCAAAAGCTTCTCCTTGATCTTCAGCTTCGGCCGCTTTATTCTAAGACCGGTGAAAATCAAATCCACGGGATCTGTCGAGAGAAAAAGAGAGAGAGAGAGAGAGAGAGAGAGGACACGATGTAGTTTCGATTTTTATAGCACCGTCGGCAGGCGCCGTAGAGCACGGATCATAGGGAGGGCAGGCTTCGTGGGAGAGTCGCATACGGGACAACCCGGAGACGATCGTCGGAGATTTCAAAGGGATTTAAAGTTAGAATCAATTAAAGCTCGCGAGGAGAGCTCGCCTCCTTACGTATCACACGGGTGAAATGTAATTCGTGCGTCGCGTCGATCAGATCGGACGAGATCGTACGAGAGATCCCGATTTCGATTTCGATTAGAAGCAATCCGTGTCGCACCTCGCGAATTTTCCTAAAAACGGGGCACGTCGCTTCCAAAGTGGCACTTTCGCGGATGCTTATTTCCCTCGCGTCACAGTTGAGCGTGCTCTAGGGTTAGTAATTGCACGATTAAAAACGCAGCAAAGTGGAATAAAACACTTTGCGGGGATTTTGGAAAGAAAGACGGAGAAAAATGCCCTTGACATTTCGCGGACATTTGAGAATTACGCTTGGCGTGGAAGCGACTTCGGAGATTAAAAGTTATGGAGAGCGGCGAATTCGTATGAAAATGAAACAAGTTTTACAAGACTTCTCTGAAAATGTCTCTGTCAGGAAGGATATTATTCTTCGTTCGTCCCGGCGGATACGAAATTATTACTACAAGCAGCCAAGCGTGTCCGATGTTCGGAGCTTAATTAAATCCTAGGAATCGTTCCGGTGTTAACGAATTCTCGCACGAGCATTCGCGAAATATTTCAACAGTTTCGGAACGCGAATAACCGGTTAAAATTAACGCGGAAATTTACGGCTAACTTCCATCGAAGAAATTTATATCGAGGACCAGGCGGAGAGAAGCCACTTTCCGCGGGATTCGCAAATAAATCCCAAATTACGAGGAGTGACGTTCGCGTCATTACGATGCCGAATTCCCGTGTGATTTGTATCATTACACCGTCAAAATTGCGCTCTTCATACAATTTATTCGTTACATATTTATAAATAATTACGATCAATTTTAGCAGTAATTTAATAATGCAATAGCAGTAATTTAATAATAATCGGAAAAACACGCGAAATGAGAGGAGGAGAGACGGAGGAAATACGGAAGATAAAGCCGACCGACCAAATTCGCACGCCGAGAATACATAAAGAACTAAAGAAATCGGAAAATAGCGTGGAGAAGAAAAAAAGAATTAGCTCCAAGAAAATAAATTTAAAAAATTACCGTCGTCCTCTTTGAACTGCGTCCAAAGTTCGGTAAGTTGGGCGATTTCTTCTTCAGACCACTCCTTAGGCAACCTCTTTTGTACCTCGGCTCGCACGCCCTAATTAATTGCGAGATTTAAGGAAATGGTCCAGACCACGTGCATAGTTCGTAGTGGAAAAAAAAAAAAAGAAAAATAACTTCGAGATATATTAAATCTGCGGAAGCCACCGCAGATGCGGGAGCACCGTAATACCGTAATAATACCTACCTTATGCTATTACGATTATTGCCCGATTGTTCAGACGGAACGAGACATTCAGGAGGAGACGATAGAGTCAAGTATGAATCGTGTGGCTAACCGGCTTGACCGGATTAATTGAAATAAAATCCCGCTAATATGCATTTCGCACGATAATGCCGTACTAATGTCCAACAAACATTTTACGGACCAAAGCTCGACCACGCGCGGACACGTAGTCGTTCATCCCCCCCCCCATCTCCCCCCTAACCTCTATTCTCGAAGAGCGCTTTGCGTGCGCGTAATCTCCGAGCTTGAAAACGAAGACTGCCGCGCATAATCCGCGAAGAAGAAGCTCCTCTAAGTCAGTAGGCGTATTAAAAAAAGAAAAGGAAAAAGAAAAAAAAAAAAGAAAACGGAAGCCAGGTCGCTCGTTTTCCAGCGATTACGCTCCACCCTCGACAGAGCAGTGCTTCTACGGCTGGCCCCTAAATGGCCGTCGAGCAATATCGCACGACTTCCACGGACTAAATGAATGTCAAATGAACACTCGACCTGTAGTCTCCGGCGATCTCCTTCTCCTCCCACTTCTCTCCTCTCACCCTCAGCGTTTGAAGAGACGAAACGTACTCACGCATGAAATTATTTAAATGAAACGCTTCCGCGGCTAAGTCTTCCTGCCCCGGAAGACCTTCGCGAAGGAATCGATAATACCGGAGGAAACGTTCTCGCCGACGTATCTACCCTCCCCTCGCCGGTGACTACGCGCTTATGATTAATAGCAAATTAAGATCAAGGGTGAGAGCGGGTGGTATTTTTTCCCCTTTCCAGTCGCGGCTGGTTAACATCGCACGCCATTACCGGAGGATTAATCACGTTTCGCGCGCTGTTTTTCGAACGAAATAATTACGAACGTCGCGGCGGGGATAAGTTATTTGCTTTTTAGACGGGGGCAAAGCGAGGTTGACAAAAGTGACGTCTCCATCTCGAGTGAAGATCGCACGTAAACGGTTAGCATTTCGTTTCAAAGTGGTTGCCGGCGCGGACAGTTAGCGTTGGGACGGAAACGCTGACGTCTCCTCGTCCGAGAGGGAGCGAAATTTTTTCGCTGAATCCTTTACACCGTGTTCCGCCTGCGTAAAGCGCAGCGGAATAAGACCCGGCATTGTGTACTGCGTCTCGCCTCTCCCTCCGCCGCGCTTTTTTCCCTTGTTAGAGGAGCTTCCTCGCAAACTCAATTAATTTTAAGTTTTAAATAAGCCGGCAACTAGTTAGTAACTCTTCTACCGCAATAAGAAGCTTGATTAACGCATTCCCATGCTTTATCACCGTATTGCACCGTGCATTTTCCGAAGAGGAGAATTACGACGGAAGAACGGACGAGGGAGGGGGGACCTCGCTCCCACGCTCAGCGAGATTAATACGTCTTTCAAGGCGTTTTTTTTCAGGAAATGCGAATAATCCGAGGAAGCGAGCGAGCGAGCGAACAAGAACGAGAGAGGAGTGAGAGGGGAAAGAGAGAGAGAGAGAGAGAGAGAGGAGAGGAGAGGAGAGGAGAGGAGAGGAGAGGAGAGGAGAGAGGAGAGGAGAGAGGAGAGGAGAGGCCAGAGATGCAACGTACCGTCAAAGGATCAACTAAACGCGCTATTTTTAAACGTCGGTCGTGCAATTCAGCGTATCCCGCCGAGACAATGGAAATTACGGCAGCACCGGCAGCTAATAACATGCACATCCGCAGCCCGACAAACACATCGCCAGACACGCGCTACCGCGTCACGTTCCCTCCTCGTGTTTTCGTACCCCGTAGGGTGATGCCAATGTTTATACGTATGTCGCGGGGCAAAAGGCAAACAAAACGATAGCTTCTCGTGTCCTGAGGAGGAGGCGGCGCCGCCGGTTTTAGGGCCGCGGGTTGACGAGGGGGACTCCCACAGACATTTCCATGCTCGAGGAAAGAAACTGCCGGCGGTAAAAGAACCCAAGCGCGGTGGATCACGTCGGGATCGTGGACAAGAGTGAAACGCAGAAACGCGCGCGCGCGCGAGGGTGGCGTAGCTCGCCCCGTAGGTATTGTCTCCGGAGAATTTACAGTTCCTGTAGCAATTCCCGGCTCCATTTTTTGCATATGTTCGCCCCGTCAGCGGAGCCGGTCTAGAAACTTATTTTCGAGGCCGGGGCGACCTACCGCCCTTCCGAGATCCTCGTAAATCATTGATCTTGTCAGACGGCGGCACAACGGGGGTTGTAGCGAGGGCGCGCGAATGGCCTGATACTTTTTTGGGGTTGATGGCGGCGGGAATCTTTGCGAAATCTTTCAATGTTATTTCTAACCCTTGCGGAAGACAAAAAAATTCGCTCGAGGTGAATTAAATTCGCTCGCGAGCGGGATGAAGGAGCCTCCACTTACTTCAGGACACGGAGTAGATCTGAAGTAATTGCGCGAGGGACCACGTGTGAAAGAATGTAACCCACCTTAGAGTTCACGATCAGATACATCTCTTTGAGCTTCTTGATGACGGTACGCCGCGTCCTGTCCTCACTGATGATATGTTGCAGCAGCCAGTCAATCAAGTCTACAAATTACGAGATGGAAATTACGTAACATTTAACTCGACCATTGTATCGTACCATTGATATATATCTGACGTTCCCACGTTCTTCCACCTCCCAGATATTTAAGTGTAAAGGACGTTCCCCTCAGAGATTAAGAAAGAGTGATAAAGTAGAAATTATGGTTTGGGTGTCAGGCGTGCTTGAATCGGAAAGGTAACGGATTGCATGTCTCTCGTGTGTCTTCGTCTCGCATTATGTAGTGCAAAACAACAGTACACTTTGGGCGCGCTATAACACACTAATCTATCGAATTCAACAAACTTCCATGAGAAATGGAGAATATAAAGAGTTTACCCTGGGAGTATTTGTTAGTCTGATGCTCCATGAAGAGGGTACGCAGCTCGTCCTCTTCCGCCTCAGTCCAGACTGCTCGTGAAACTTTCTTGTTAGTCGTTTCTGCGCTGTAGCCATCCACGATTTCTGTCGCGTCGCGGCTGGTCTTCCAGAAGAGCAGCTCCATGTACGACTTCCGGTTTTTCTGGGCGACTTCGACGAAACGACGGATTATGAAGACCGCGAACTTTTGCAGCTCCTTAAAGTAGGAATCGATTTTTCGTCGCTCGACAAGTCCGCTTCCGCGAGCCATTAAGCCCGATACAGGGATGTAATAAAAGCTTGACGGTAGAATTTATCGCGCGGGAGTAACAAAGGGGGAGTGGATTTTTATCGCTGAGTGAGAAGCAGCAAAGTACTATCCATGATATTCTTATTACATGCGAGGATCGATGGCGTTCAGTTACGAAGAGAAGAGAAGAGAAGAGAAGGAAATCTACCGGAAAGGTATCTATCGCGAAAACGCGATATCAAATGCCGCGATATCGAATGCCACAGAAAGCATTAAGTCATGTTAGCGATTTTGTCTATGAATCGGAAATATGACGCACAATTTTTTCGCTGTGACTTTTTTGTACGTCTTATTACCTTGTGTGCAGGATTCTCTGAATCAAGGATTCTTTGAAAAGTCCGAAAGATGGACGCCTGGAATATCATGCCCGGCATTTTGCAGGTCCAAGCAATTCGATGTAACATTTTGGCTACATAGTGGTTTACCTCGACCGTATTGCTCTCGAATTGTTGCAGTAGTAGCGCCAAAGCTCTAACCACTTTTACATTAGCGAACCTTTAAATGAGATACTTTTTTTCAACTGGGACATTATTTCGCGTTTTATACCATTTTTTACGTACAGAACGTTTAAACTCGTGCGTTAATTTCAATTTTATCTTTGAAACGAGATATAAAAATATATATGTATATACAGAGTGTCCGGGATATTTTGAAAATGAAAAATAGTAAAAACAATCAGATCAAACTGAGGAGGAAAGTCAAGTACCATTTTGCAAATAAATACACAAATCTTCAAGTTATTGATTGAAAGAGCCTGTAGATGTGATCATCTTTAATCACTAATAACTTAATAATTATTGCGATTTTTGCAAAATAATACTTGACTTTTCTTCTCAGTTTGTTTTGATTAATCTTCACAATTTTTCATTTCCAAAAGATCCCGGACATCTGTATAATCGAATTTTCTTTTACACTTAATTTTAAGTGGACTTCATTTTAACAAAGTTTTATCTTCAAGTTTAATTGACAAAGTAACTAATGTTTGCGAAAAGAAGAAGTTGTAAACGTTCAACTGTCTCGGGAATATGACAAAATTTTAGAGATTTGAGCCACTTCCTAATTTCATCTTATTTATATCGTACCTTTGAATAAATTCGTCCAATTTAAAATCAGTCTCCTGGAAAATAGTTCCCCCTTCCTCCTCCTCCTCCTCCTCCTCCTCATCGTCCTCCTCGCTCTCATCTGTGAGAAAGATTATTTGTATGTACATTATATGAGTAAACCGAATATTTATTCGTACAACGTCAAAGAAACCCTCTCTCTTTACCTTCGCGATTTACGGAATTCTCAATGTCTTCGTCCGCGTTTATCGTTCCTTGAGCGACCGGCTGATCCTCTACTACTGAAAACAAATCAAATAAGACGAAATGAATAAACGAGAAATAGAATACGGCGCCCGTGTATGCGCAATATTTAATTTATACATCTCTCGTCGTGGTCCGAAAATAAATTGCAGCAGCGCGAAAATAAAACTGCTTTTTACAACCGCAACGGGAAATGTGCATTTCTGATAGGAGAAAAGTGTCGTAAATTAAATTTAACCGGTATAACCGCTAATAATCCGCTCTTTTCTGCCGTGTTGAAAACACTTATATTTTTGCCGCGCATAAAACTCTGAGAGCCCGCGATTTCGTATGCAGATACGAATACATAAGCGCTTCTTAAAGGATACGCAGGCGAGGTGTTTTAAATCATCGCGGTAAGTTTTCTCTGAGCGAGTTGTTGCTCCAACTAAAGAAAGCTTTCCACCGTCCGAAGAATCCAGTTTGTCCAAGTGACGGTGACGGTGGTGCTATTTCAGCTTAAAGTTTTAATTGTCTCTTCCCGCGGTCTGCTCAACTCGAAACAGTAATTTGAGATAAAATAAAGCACTCGTCCGAGTCGCGGTGTATTTTTATCTCGGATTTTTAAATGCTTCATTCCGCTGATGTATTAAAAATGTTAAAAGAAACTTTTCCTTCTCCAACATCCCTGTACATCCAGTACGAAAGGAGATTTCATGCTTTCAATAAATTCCTGGCGAGCAACTTTCCTTTCGATCCTTGAAAGCTCTTTTCGGTCTTGCATGGTTATATGGGCAGAGGGAGGCGGGTGGGGTGGGGCGTGGGGGGTAACCGTCGTATAATTATCGTGCGCAAAAATAATTAAAAATTTCCTACACTTGAGATTGTAACTGCAGAAAATACATCGACGCGAAAGTTTCGGTGGAATTTTGTTACTCGCGCGAACAGCGCATGCGAAAGAGACGCGAGAAAACACGAAAAGTGCATCGAACAACAGGCTAATAAACTACTCTGCTCATATTACTTCACAAAGGAAAAATATGCGTCGCGCTCGCGACTCAGAGACAGAGATCAGCATTTCTTAAACAAAATTCGTTTTTGCGAAAGAGAGAAGGGCGATAACATGTTCCGTCGTTACAGATTGACAGAAACAGAATCCCGAAATATATCGAGGGAATTGATGCGTTTAACACGAGTGTTATCGATTCGAGCACGGCAGACGCGGAAGAGTTACGTCGATGCTTGCAACGGTTCGTTGCATTCGGCTATCGATCGTCCCCGCAATTTCTCAGCGATATACCCATCCACGCACAATATATTCCGCGATTGCGTGCATGTATGCGTGCACGGCTATGCGCATGCATAAGAAGATCAGCAGTGTTGCGTGATACGCTCTCGCACAGGTTAGTTAAGCAGTTGACACGTACGTTTCAATCCGTACTATCCGTACAATCCGTACGACTCCGAACGTACAACTTGCATACTTTACAAATCGCTTGATAGCGAAGCCCAGTCAATCGCGAAAACTTGCGGGGGAATTGAGGGAAATTGTATTTCTCAATTCCGTCAGAAAGAATAACTCCGAGAAAGAAGAACGAAAACAAGGCTAGTGAAATTTGGCGGGTGTATTGTGTGACCGATCCGAAATCGAATTTCTTTTCAAAACGCGTTTTTCGGTTGCAACGAAAAAAACAATTGTGTTCGAGTCGCGCCATAGTCGCCGTATTTGCGCGAGGTTCCACATTTTTTGGATTTCACGAGTCGCTGAACTTCTCTCGTTAGTCACTCTACCGTGCTCGATTTTTCGCGCTGCATACACATTTTTATCGCGTTAAATCAAATGAGGTACCGCGCGCGACGATGTATATCGTATTATTAAAATGAAGAATATCTCGGAACGCGCGCGCTGAACATAAGAGAATGTCAACTTCAACGGAAACGTGATTCCCCGATGATTCAAACGTATCTGCCGGTCGTAGGCAGATTTCATACAGACACAGAATCTTAACCCTTAAAGGCTATCATGGGTGGTGATACATTTATTCACCCTGTACAAACTTTTGATTCTGAAAAACGTAATCACACTGAGAGACAATACGAATTTTATAGATATTTATTCACATTATTAGTAGTGACGACATTAAAACAGATCATTTCTCTCGCATATGCTTTGCCATAAATATAACAAGAAAAGTTAACTTGGAACGATATTCGATGGTAGTGTTTAAGGGTTAGATATAATCTCGCCCTGAAATTTCACCCATATTTGCGAATTTTTAATCTTATTAAAAAACATAATCATCCTGAGAGACGATACTAATTTGATAGATATTTATTCACGTTATCAGTAGTGACGATATTATGATAAAACAGATCAATTCTCGCATATGCTTTGCTATAAACACAACAAGAAAAGTCAGCTTGGGGTGATATTTGATGGTAGCTTTTGAGGGTTAGATATATTAATCTCGGATGAATCCTTTTCGCACTTTTGTTGATCTCAAGCGAATGTAAAGCGCGAGCAAAAGGTTCGGCTAAAATTCCGCGCTTAAAACTCGACCGATTGCTCAAAATACAGCGCAAAATATGATATTTCTGAATGCGAACGCCACGTTGCGCGGGCGAGGACGCGACCGAGCAAGCGATATCGCTGTAATCATAATTGTAAATTAATTTGATCGCCGGCGCGTAACATCCGCGTATAGCGATCTCTCGTTAGACTCGAGATTGCGATGCTCCTTGCCATTAAATTAAGCATTATCGTGGGCGCGCGAAGACGAGGGGTGCATTATGCGATTGTATTACCTGGGTAATAAGTGTTGTCTAACGTACATAGTAGCTAGGTAAATGGGGTTGCAGGTGGTATATCAGAAGTTGGGCGGTTGAAAATAATAGAGACCGGGGGAGGACGAGAAGATGAGGGAAATGGAGGGGGGGGGAGGGAGGGAGGGGACGAGCATGGCGGAGGATAGCAGTGGATGGGTTTATCACGGCTGAGACCAAAAGCCTTGCTACGCTACCTCGATGTAATTTGTGAAGAGATAATAACCGTCGTCCACGAGCACCGTCGCGGTGCTGAAGGATATTTTTTTCTGTTTGTATTACGTATTGCATTTAAAAAGGCTTGTCTCTCTCCGATGGAATTAAGGTTCGCGCTCATGAGTGATTTTTGTCACCGCGCACGACGGTGAGAGCGTTTTAACGCTACAACGGTGCGGAGTATTGGGGGTACTGGAGGAACCGCGTTTTCCGCCTGCCATAAGTAGCAGCGAAGAAACTTTACGAGATACACGTAATATTGCGATTATGATTTCTCTGTTAACTCTCCAACTTTCTTCGTATCTAACTCGCAATCACGCAGACACGCGTGATTACATCGTGTTCGAAAAGAGTAATTTTCTCGAAATATACCATCGCCCTCGAACATCTCATCCGGGCGCTCCAAAAATCTCGCTGCTCAATATTCTCTTAATTATTCGTACTTCATTCCTAAATACACGCGAAAAAATCCCGTAGCTCGACCAGCCCCCTCCCCCCTCCCTCTCTCTCTCTCTCCACACGTTTAATATAAGCGTAATTTTTTTCATGAAAGGGATAGAAAGTTAACACGGTAAACTGGTAGAATGGGAAATTAAAAGATAAACTTCTCGACGATCGGTGTAGACCGAACTTTCTCGATAGGAGCAAAGTTTCGAGTCTGAAAGCAGCGCAAGACAGTTCCGTAAATCATGCTTACTTGCAGTTTGATAAGACTCGTAACCCACTGAATGAGTCAACTGTGGGGAGAGTGAATTACCCCGAAAATCGAAGGGAAGCTATTCGCTGGTGTTTTACCAGTTCATGATGAATTCATTATTGCGAAGAGAGATCCGGCGTCTCTGGGATTTACAGCAGCGTGAAAATCGCGGAAATTGTAACCCTGGTAACCCGCGTCTCGTCTCTCGTACCTCTCGCACGGAAATTCACTGCTATTTTTGAACGAGGAAATAACCACGGACAGCGTTCATTTTTCCGTGATTTCGAGGGGAGAAGAAAGAGAAGAAGATGATGGCGTTTCTCCGGTCTTATTCTGCGTCACGCTCGCTTGTTTCCCACTCGCCTTGCTTAGATCGGTGAGGCGGAAGAAATCGGGACGATGGCTAGGGAAACGAATACACGAGCGGAAAGCTCGTTTTGAAAGAGAAAAACGAGTCCGCAAGAATCCGCTAGTTTGTTAATGCCTCTTTCGTTAACCGCGTTAACAGGCTGTTAACCGAGTGAGCGGCAATAACCATCGAGTCCATCCCGCCAGATGTAAAACCGTATTTTCCTCGAAACACGTTTCTCGCGTGCAAGCTCTTTACCGGCGACGGCCCTTTCAATCGTATCGTGCATAAAATAAAACCCATCCGCCCATCGGACGGGCGGATATCTCGATCGAGCTAGCTGGGGATACGGCGCATCGTAGAAATTGTATGCGGTGCGATGCTTCGAACGCAATCCAGTCGCGAGATCTACCTCTGCGGAAGTTCTTACACGAATCGGGAGCGCACCTGCGACGCGCATCTCGAACTTTATTTCCGCTACGTATGCCGGACCGGGAAAAACTGACAATTGAAGGTTGAGGATCGACCTGGACCACGACCGACCAGAGGGTCGGGAACGGCTTGATATACGTATGCCGCGACTCGAGTACGAGCCGGCAACGAGGAAGATGTGAGCCGGGGATAACCGCGATGAAGACCGATCGGAGGTGTTTATAGCGGTTTGGTGCCTCCAGACCCCCAAGCTAAATCCGCAAGCGGCACTGCGCCGCCGCCACCCCTCGGCCGAAATCGTCCCTCTTTCGTGCAATCTGCTCGCAGCTCGCGACGCACCCGGCCGAAATTTCGGTATTCAACGATCGTCACACAGTCCGGCACTACTATTAGGCCGGTAACTACTTATTCAAACCGAATCGCTCGAAACGCCCACCTTTCTCGGCGGTTGTTGTTAACGCGATCACGTCCTTCGCCAGATCCCCTCGCCTCAATCTCCTCACCAACGGCGTTCTGACCCAACCTTTTTCTGTAACGATGCA